TTTCAATTTATATTGAAAAAAATTTTATTTTGCTTGATATTTTTAATACTTAACATATTGGCTATATTTTTAAGACCACCACTGTATAATGAATAAAATTAATTGGTTTATAAAAATTTCATCGATTTAACTATTTAAAATATATGGTAACTATGTACTAATATTAGAATATAAACTATTTTTCAAAAAATAGAAATAAAAATATTTAATTAATAATTGTAAAATAATATTAAAGGTAGACTAAAATTTATAGTACAAGATATAAAGTTGCTGTTTTACCTGTTCTGTTCATACTAGAAATTATTAGTTATTTTATTTTTTTAACACTATTTTCAAGACTATAATTTATCTGTGAGATTATGCGATTTGAGGCTCTTAACTTTTTTGTAGAATTTTGTGAAATTTTTTTTTTATATTGGAATCGGTGTTAACTGAAATTTTAAGAAACATTAATTTGTATATTGAAATTGTAATAGGTAATGTTCTGACCAGTAATTTCTAATGTTCTGATTATAATATAACTAAAGACATATTTGTATTAATCTAAAGAAAAAGTAATAATCAATGAATAATTACTGTCATCTTTGAAAAGCAAGCAACATGTTGAAAAGTGTAAACCAATAACATGTGTTGTGTAGTGTTATTAATTATGTTAATTTTTTTTGGAAAATACCTTAATATAATCACCCTTAAACCATAATTAATAGAAATGAAAAATAAGCAAGTATTTAATGTAGAATATATAAAACAAAAAACTATATTTTCTTCAAATACAATGATATTTTACTGCTATAATTTTGCGCTGTCTATAATAAATGATTATGGGTTATTCTTCCAACAATTTAATTATACATTATTGTTTTTAAATAACCTTATTCAAATTTAAGACTAAAATTTTATAATAATAAATCTTTTGTTGAATTCTTCAAACAATATCTGTTTCTTATATCTTTAAAAGTTATAATTTTATAATTTATACAAATTATACAGTTGTCAATATTATATACCAGAAAATGTCTATTTAATATTTTTGTAATAAAGGTAATTAGCGGTTACAAACTGCTAAATCGATTGTTATTTCACAATAAATTATAAATTTAGTTACCAATTTCGTGTAACATATCTTTAGTTTTTTTTTTTGTTGTCTTAAGCCCATTTTATATTTAACCTTAATAGCCTTATTAACAATTTAATAAAATATTATTAACACTCATCTATTAAGGTATAAGAATTTATATCACATATAAATTTGTATATGAATATAGAAAAATATTTATACATTATAATTATATTTATACAACGTATATGTACATATATAAAAAATTTTCAAGATAAAAATTGCACATAATAAGGTCATGAATAAATATTAAAAATATTATAGTTGAGGAAAATCTATACTCAAGTAATAATTTATTAAGGGTCTATTTTTGGATAATTAAGTTGTTTCATAATAGTCAAGTGTAAGTTAAAAGTTTATTAAAAAAAAAATCAAATATCAAATTATTTACGTATTTTTAAAGTTAATTATAGGACTACGAGTAATTTTAATTACTGTAATTAATTTTATTTTAAGCGAAATATTTCAAAAACCTGAATTCATTAATATAACATAGGCTGTCAGACTTGAAGCGAGTCGTTTCAATTGGATATAATTTAATGATTTAAACCGATAATTTGAATTTTGAAAAAAAAAAGGGTTAAGCAACATAAAAGAATAGAAGATTTTTGTACGTCGAGTTACTGTTTAAATAAAGCTGGGCATACTATACGTTACGTATTTTGGTAACTTAAATTAATAAATTGGACAACAAGGTCGACAAACACTAAGCAGTCTTTAAATATTATGCTTGTTATGAAGTCTGTCACCACTGTTTTTGTTCACTCAATTTTTAGTGAACTTATCACTTATTTTTGGTGTCATTATTAAAAAATGGAATGTCAAAAATTGTTGCTATTATGAAAAGTAGTGCTTGTCTTTCACTCATTTTTCCTTTCATGCATTTTTTTTTGTGACAATGACGACAGCAGCCCTATGTTTGTTTTATTATTAATACTACGTAATTTATAATATACATATTAGATTTTTAGGAATTTTCAAAAACGGGGGTACCGATCCATTTGTTAGAACATACCTCTGAAAAAATGAAATAAAAATTTACAATTCTATTTCCAATTAAATTTCTAATTATAATATGAAGTTTATTGTTGCTTTATATATGGAATTATTAAATTATGAGTTCTTCTTCATAACTTTATTAAAATTATTAATTGAAATACTTGAAAATAGAATACTTTTCAAATAATTTGAAGATCATATAACGCAATTTTCATTTTGTTTTTTACTTGTATTGCAATATCTCTTCCAAGTTACTTTGTTTTTGTAGCAATAATTAAACATTTAATAGAATTACAAAAAAAAAACAAAAACACCTCATTTATTGTTTTAATAATTGCTTAAACTTTATTGCTAAATATGAACATATATCATAATCGTGTATCATAACACCTCTATAATAATAATTATAATATTCATACATTGTTGCTTTACTAAATCATATTATCATTTATGTGGTCATTCAAAAACCACAATAAAATCAAATCGATAAGAAATTAACACCTACAGATCATGTAATTAACTATATGTCTGTATATTGGAGTATCCACATGAAAATTTTCAATTTTTTAATAGTGTACCTATTTTGTTTTCTTTCACCTGTTTTATAAGATTTACACTTTACAGATATTATTAAAATTTTTTATTTTTCTTCAGCAATCTATAATTACATAATAAAACGAAGCAGAAGTAACAAAGATGTAGAAAAATTTTTTTTATTTTAATAGATGAAATATGTATGTGTGTCTAGCAATACATTAAAAAACAAATTTGAACTTTCTTTAAATATTTAATATTGAAAAAAAAATAATTCTTTCAATTAACACTAACCAATTCCTACTGTCTGAATATGTGATTAAATTCTAAGGAAATCAAAGGTTTTACTACTACTTAATTAATAATAATAGTAATCGAAAAATAGTGATTTAATAGTAAACTAATAGTTCATATTTTTAAGTTTGGGAAAGCATAAAATTGAAAATATAATAACTACATATGTAATACTTAAAATGAACAACTCATCAGAAAAATTACAATCGTTGTTGTTCTTACAAAAAATACAATCGTTCATAAATTTTAATTGATTTTTGCAAAATATGTAAAATTGTAGGATTAAAACTGTTTGGTTTATTTATCTCATACATATTATTTACATAATTAAATATTATATAATTTGTTAAAAGTCCCTTAAGGTGTCTAAGCAAAAATTTGGATAAACTTGCGAATGATTAAATTTATTGGCTATAAAATTTGCTAGCATCATTACTTTTTCATCAGATACGATTCGTAATGTATTTTTATTTTATAATAATTTTCTTTTAGAAATTTGGACATGCATGTATCTAATTCTTAATTTATAAGATTATAACCCAAATGATTTATTTGATCTTTCTCAAATAAATGAGAAATTTGAACTCAATTTAATTTAAAATTATACCCCGTTTTCATTTTAATCAAAAATATGGATATAAATTTCCTGCAGTATATATAAATAGATTTCTTAAACGTAACTTGTAATTTCAATTTTAGTCTCAAAACTAAAGTTAATTTTAGTTGGTTACAAAGCTAATATGAATTTTATTCTTAAATTGAGTTGAAATTATCTTTTGAATTCCAGATATTTCATTGTCAAAGTTTATAAACGAATAAAGAATGAATTTTTTAATTAAATGCTACAAAAAGAAAAAAATTAAATTTTCAATTAGATATTTAATTTTTTCTCAATATTTTGAAATCTTTATTAGTAATGGGAAAAAAACTTTTATGTCCAATTGAAATAAAGAATATTTAAAGTTAATAATTATATGTGAAAAATATTTTTAAATATTTTTTTCAGATTGAATTTCTCATCAATCATTAACGTATATTAGCCAATTTAAATTTAACTATGTATGTATTTTCTAAAAAGACCCTAAAAATTTGCCTCTTAAATACTAAATTTTACTTACATATTTTTTGTAGAGAAAAGACAGTAGACAAAAAACAGTAGAGAAAAGACAAGTAGATTTCTAATAGTTTCTTATTATGTTAAATATTAAAAAGAAAACAAAAAAATACTAAGTGTTTGTCAGGAGATTTTCCAAGTACTATGTTAAAAATTTTTAAAACAACATTTGAAGATCACTTATAATACACTAACAGTAATTAAAAGTAGGTGCTTTCATTTTAGGTTTAAGTTTACATTTTCAAGTATAAAAATATTTATGGACATATTTATGTAGTTGTTATAGCAAGTCTATTCACAATAAATTGGGCATTCAGTTTGGTATTTTTTCTTTTTTTTCTTGAAAATTTTTATCAAGTTTTTTTGATATTTTTCATTTTTCAGCTCAAATTTAAAAAGATATTTCAATATTTTATGAATTTTGTAAATAAAAACTATTTGTTCACATTTTATAATACGTAAGTTAAATTTTTGATTTAATTTAACTATTTTATTATATTGATTTCTTATAAAATATATAAGGCTTTTTCTATATTTTTTAAGTCCCTTTAGTGAAATCACACACTCGACAATAGTCTGTATTAAAAAGTTCTCTAAAATCCCATGATTTTATTCGTAAGGTAGTATGTTAAAATAGAGATTTTCATTGTATGGAGATTCCCATGTCAAAAATCTGTGCTGAGAAAGAATTAATTTCAATATACTTTTGGCAATATAGGTACTTTTGATTATAAGCAAACCTATTAAACTTGGACCACTTTAAAGAAAAGTTATTTCCATGTTTAGTTTTACAGTACAACATTAAAAGAAAAACATAGAATATATGTAGAGCAATGCGGGTTTCGATATATTAAAATTAAATAAAAATGCTATATTTATATTATTATTTATTATTTTATAATTTTATTTATTTTTATTATTCAACATTCGCTCACTATTTATTACAGTTTTTCTCTTTAATTTATTTCATTGTTTTTAATTATAAATATTTCGATTTTATTAGTTTTTCAGTTTATTTTATTAATTAAATATGAAAAAAAAGAATTAAAAATAAGAAAAAAATTTTTGGTAATTTAATAAATCAACTTTCTTTTTTTTTTATCAATAATAATTATTTTGGTATTATTTTAATTATTAAAAATGATATTGTTTATCGTTTAATGAATTTGCACCTATATTTTGTCTCCCAACAAAAAATAAATTTAAATAAAGATTTAAAAACAAAAAAATATGTTGATGTTTCGTTAATTACCGAAATTGAAATTTCAATTAATTTTTCTTACTCGTAATTCTAATTTTTCACTTTTAGCGTCATTATTAGTAAATTGTTTTTTTTTTTTAGCTAAGTAAAAATTTTATTAAAATTTTTTATATTAATTCATTTTTTTTTTAAGTTAATTTGATTTAGTTTAATTATCATTTAGACATTTTTATTAAAATTCATTTTTTTTTTGTTAATTTAATTTAATTAATTCGTCGTTGACTTGTGGTTTAATGAGTTTTATCACAGCCAAAAAAAAAAATAAGACAGACACATGTAAAATAGCAATAAAATTATTAAAATAAATTTTTATCAAAAGAAATTATTTAAAATTAGATAAGCCTATTAAATAAAAATTTTCTTCGCTCGCTTAATTTATTAATATAAAAAATTTAAAATTTAATATGTTATCCAATTTCAAATAATTTCTAAATATAAAAATTTATTAAATATATTAATTTTACATTTCAAATAATTATAATTTCTTTTTTCTTTTTTTTAAATTAATTTTTAAGTTTTTCTTAATAAAATTGTTTTAAAATTTTAAAACATTCAGTTTTAATATAAATTATTGTACAAATTAACTGTCAATTAAGAAAATGTACAAAGCTTATCAAAAAATTATTATGAGAATTATTTTATAGTAGTTAATATTTTCTTTTAAATTTTTTCAATTTTTAATAAATTAAATCTAGGTGTAATTAAAAAATATGGAAAAATAAATACAACTATTAAATGTCTTAATCTAGAATAGATCGCATTTTCCCTCCTTTTTTTATACAATTTTTTTTTTCTTTCTCAGAATTATTTATTTTTTATCATCTTTTTTCTTTGTAGTTTTAGGTTTAAGTTTAGTTTTGATTCGGAAGAAATATTCATCTTTTCTTAGCAATTTCGCTCTAGCATATGATGAAATATCAGCATCCATATTGTGTTCTCTTAGCCATGAAGATGTATTCTCTGTACTAAATCCGGAACGTTCAGTACGTGGTTCATCCGGAAGAGCTTCTTTACCTACAAATATAAAACAAGGAAAATATATTAATTTTAAATATGTAATAGTTTTATGTATTGTTAAAAATCGGGAAAAATTTTTGATTACTGAGAATTACAATATTTTAATTTTATGCATCTAAAATATATAAAAGTTTATTGTTAAATTAAAATATTTATAATGGTTTTAGAATATGCAATGCATATAGATAATTCTTAAAAAACGATATAAATTTGAAAGTTGTAATTAACTATACCAATTATAAAATGTATGTAAATTCTAAGATTAAAATCAATATTAGATCGGTAACAGCACTTTTTCAATGAAACAAGGTTTTGTATTTTAAGAAAATTTATTAATTATAATTTAAAGACGATATAATATAAAGTGTGAAGAATAGTTTTAATTGTTTTTAATATATTATTCAAAAAGAAATTGGCAAGTTGTTATATCACAGCTTTATTAAATCTTAAAAAAATTTTTGTGCTATGGATTTTCATGATTATATTATATTAATTTTTAGTAACCTGTTCTTTAAAATTTTTTGTCTTAATTTCAATTAGGTCAAATAAGATTTTACTAAACGTTATAGTAAAAACTAATTTAAAGAAGTATAAGTTCCGTATTCATGTAAAAATATGAAGTGATTCTTCATTTTTATTTTTTGATTTTCTAAAAATTTGTTATTATATTGTACATTACTTTTTAAATTGCTAATTTGTAGTTCATGTTTGTATAAGCAAACAACCATTTTAAAAAATAGTAACGTAAACAGTTAGTATAATTAATAATCAGATAGTATAATTAATTTTTTTTTTTGCTTTTTGAATTTAATAAGAAATCAAAAATCTCTGCTTATGATTTACAACTAAACTAATAATGAATTTACTATATTTTTTGTCGATCATATAATTCTAATTAATCATTCTTAATTAATTTATCTTCCTAAAATTTGGTATTAATGAAACAAAAAATTACTTTAATCATTCACATACATATGGTAAATTAAAATTTACGAGAAATATTAATTTATATTTAAAATTCAGTAATATTCATTGCACAATTTTGTTTCCTTCCATACGCCTCATAAATTCAAATCAGTTAAGATTGAAGTTCATCTTTAAGATCTTTGAAAAATATTGAAGGAATATTGATTTTTTGTGTCTACTAAATTCATAGAATTTAGATTTACTTTTCTCGGAAAATTATAGTAATTTGTTTTTCGAAAAATTTTGGAAAGTGATTGTTGAATTTTTTATTTTTAGACCATAATATAATTAAAAGTAGCTCATATAAAAAATTTAATAAATCATACATATAAGTTTTTTATATTGGTATTATAAATCTTCAACAATAAAACTTTTGCTTCACTGTATATACTATACAAATAAGATTATAAATAAGTTTTTGAAGATAACAAAAAAAAAATAATAATATTGCACTTACCAGAATAAACAACTTTATATGGTTCTTCAGATTCTAATGGTTCACTTAAACCAATTTCATTTCTAGCATAAATTCTTATTAAATATTCATGACCATCTTGTAAGTCTCTAATTTGGAATTTCTGTACATCAACTGGTACACGACCAACTTCCATCCACATTGTCTTTTTAGTATCACGTATCGCTATATTATAACCAAGTAATGGTGATCCACCATCAGATTCTGGAATACCCCATTCAAACAAGCTTGCATTTGAAGCAATATCTCTTGCTTCTAATGGGCCAGTTGGCGGTGATGGTACGGCTATTTAAAATATAAATATAAAATAAATTACTTCCAAAAACAGATTAAGACAAGTATATTATATAAAAAATAAATTAGTATTTGACAGAAATGTGCGTAAAATAGTTTTTTTTTCATTATTATATACAGCTATATACTTACTTGCGTGTGTCTTAAGTGATAATGGTGCTGTTTGTGCTGGAGGACCAACACCAATTTCATTTTCAGCTGACACTCTTAATAAATATTCGGTTCTTTCCTTTAAATTATCAATTGTATATGAAAGATAATGGCTATCAAGTGTAATAACTTTTTGCCATGATTTTGATGTTGATGATTTCTTTTCGATTACGTATCCTGAAAATAAATAAAAATTTGAAATTTTTTAAGTAAAAGGCACAAATTGTTTTATGTATTTCAAAATTAACAATTTTACCTGTTATCTCAGAACCTCCATTATGTGATGGTGGTTCCCATTCAATTGTGATACTACGATTTGTAATAGCTGTTGATCTAAGATTATTTGGTGGTGATGGTGGAGCTACGACATATTAAAAGAGAAAAAAAAATTTTTATTTACCGACGTATCATTATAAATGTAAAATCAATTTAAAACAATGTTGATTTAATCACGAGGAAATGATCTAAACAAAAGAAGTAAAATAAAAATAGATGTTACATAATATTTGATCATCAACACATAGGTTTTTTAAATAGTGTAATAGATGTATTTGTCTTAATTGAAATCCAATATATATAATTTAGGAAAGAATATTAAAATCAAAATTAGATTTGATTAGTTTATATCCGAAAAATATTAATGCATTTGTAAATTGCAACATTGAATTCCTAATATTTTCATTTGTTTAGATTTTCAGTGTTTTAGATGAATGCACTGAAACTTTGAACAATACTTTCACATTTTTATACTTCTTGTATGGTATTATAACTTGAAATATAGCATAAAATGAAAACTTTGCGTATACTTATTTATTTTAAAACAAGAAAGTTATTACTAAATACAATGGGTGCTAACAGAGCACAAACATATAGGTTTAAACATTTAACATTGATAATTTTAATAACAATTTGGAATTTTTATTGAACATTACCAATGAAATGGACCTTTAAACTTAAGTTTTTTACCTAATTTTTCTTTATCTCCAGCTGCAAAATTTTAATTTTATTTAAATTAAAATTATAAAAAATTTCTATAAAAAATTTAGTATTATATAAATCCAAAATATACTCACTTAGACGTTTTTCAAATAATACTTCATCTTCATAATATTCACTAGTTCCAACTTCATTTTTAGCATAAATTCTAAATTTATAGGTCTTATTAATTGTCAGTTTATCAATAACCAAATTTGTTCTATTCTCTTTTGTTGATCCTTTGAGTGTAAATTTGTTGTTAACTTTTTCTGTCATTTCTACAATGTATTCAATAATTTTGCTACCACCATCCTTCTCACTCGGTTCCCAAGCTAATGTAAACGATGTATCGTTCGAACCGCATATTGTTAATGGACCTCTTGGAGGTGATGGTTTTTCTTTATGTTAAAAAATTATTAGATTAAAATGATATTTAATTTACCAAATACATATACAATACGAAATTTTCATTTTATTAGTTTGATTTTAAATTTGACTAATATCTTACCTTTTGGTTTTGTTACTTTAATTGTTTCACTTTCAGTTGGTTCTGATATACCAACCGGATTACAAGCAACAACTCTAAAAATGTATTGTGAATTTTCATTTAATTTTTGAACACAGAATGATCTAATATCTTTTTCAAATTCTGATACTTTAATCCAGACATTATTGTCCTTGTCACATTTTTCTAAAATGTATTTTTCAATTTCTAAACCACCATCGTCAATAGGTGGTGTCCATTCCAAACTTACTGCATCTTTTAGAATTGATGTTATTTCCAAAGAGTTTGGCCTGGAAGGCTTATCAATAATCGTTAAAGTAACACTGACAGATGTTGTACCAGCTTTATTTGTCGCAGTTATAGTATAAATACCGGAATCTTCGCGACGTAAACTATTAATTGAAATTGTCGTTTTTTCTACAGTTTCTTTAATAATTATACGTTCAGTTGTTTTAACTTCTTTATCATCTTTTGTCCACACAATTGTTGGTTGTGGATAGCCTTTGACTTTAACAGGTACTTCATAATTTTTACCAGCTTGAATTCTTTGTACTTTGTGATCTTCAGATACATCTAGTTGTGGTTTTTCTTGAATTGTAACGTTACATGAAGTTTCAATTGTTCCTGCAACATTTTCTGCTACACAAGTATATGTGCCTTCTGTAGAAATTTCAGTCTTTTCAATTATATATCGAGCTGTACGATTTTCATATGTAATTGTCTTTTGTGTAGTAATTTCTTTCTTATTTTTATACCATTTAACTGATGGTTCTGGAACACCACCAAACACACAGGAAAGTATAACTTCTTTATCAAGTGGACTTATAATATCACTTAAACCTTGTTTAACTGTTGGTTTTTCACTAGCCGGAATAGGTTTACCTAATTTAACTTTCTCAGAAGTTGGGGATGGTGGTGACTCACCAACTTCGTTGACAGCCTTAACTCTAAATATATATTCAATATTTTGTTGCAACTTTGTAACAATATGAGTATTTTCTTTTATTTTTGTAACACTTGTCCATTTTTCTTCTTTAACATTTTGGTACTCCAAAATATATTCAATAATTTCAGAATTTCCATCATTTTCTGGTGGAGTCCAGAACAATGTTAAAGAATCACTTGCAGTTTCTAAAATTTGCGGTGCACCCGGTGCATCCGGTCGACGTATAACCTTTAGAGTTAAGCTGGTTTCGACTTCACCATTTGGATTCTTTAGCTTAAGTGTGTATTCACCCTCATCTTCAAAAACAACTTTACGAATTGTCAATTTGGCGAATTCTTCGGTTATCTCTGGTTCTGTCCTTTTTGTTTTCTTAATAATAGTTGCGCTAGCATTACACCAAGTGGCTTCTGGAGTAGGATCGCCAGCATATTTAACTGTGAATGTGACATCATTGTTTTCTTTTACCTTATAAACGGGTTCATGAGAAAGAATCGTTGGTGGATTTTGTGGTTTCTCAATTTTCAACGTAGTCTCAGTTGAAACATTACCAGTAGCACATTTATATACTGTTTCATCTTCAGGTTTAGCATTATGAATTACCAATCTGCGAACCGTGCCCTCAACAAATATTTCATGCTTTTTGCTTGGTTTTACTTTTTTCCCATTCATGGTCCATTCTACTTCAACATCTGGTTTAGATAACTTAACAACAAATTCAACATCTTTGTTATCTGTTCCAATTGTGACAGGTGGTAGTTTTGCTATAAATTCAACCGCTGGCTCCTCTACTGTTAATTTACCAATAGATTTTTGTTCCCCAACGACACACATATATTCACCTGCGTCTTCTGTCAATGTGTCATATATTTTCAGTTTTTGTTTCTTTCCATCGATACTTAATTGTACGTGGTCAGATATTTTCAACTCTTTACCATCTTTAAACCACTTAACAAGTGCGTCACCCTTTGTAAGCTCAATTTCAAATTGAGCTTTATTACCTCTGGTAACTGTAGTATCGTCCATATGTTTCACAATTTGTGGGGGTTTTTCAATTACTGTCAAGTAAGAAGAACATTCTTGATCATCTCCCAATTTGCAAGTGTATTCACCATCTTCGAAAACTGTTGACTTTTTGATTTTTAATCTTCTAATACGGCCTTCACTTATAATTTCGACATTTTTATTTTCTTTAGTTATTTCTTCTAAATCTTTATGCCATGTTACTTGAGCGTTTTCTGATGAAACTTCGACTTCTAATATTGCTGTTTCACCTTCATTTACTTCAATGTCTTCAAGTGGTCTCAAAAACTCAGGTTTTCTTTCCAAAACAGTCACAACCGACTTAGTTTCTTTCTTTTTGACATCACATTTATATTCACCTTGGTCTTTCAATGTTGTTGTCTTAATTAATAATTTATGGACTTTTCCTTCCTCTAAAACAACTCTATGATCCATACCTGTAAGCTCTTTATCATTATGATACCACTTAGTCGGGACAATATGGGAAGTTTCGCATTCGAGAGTAAGAGTTTGAGATTCTTCAATAGTGATTTTGCTCTTTAGTTGTTTAGTAAAGGTAACCTCTTCAACTTCTACTACAACTCTTGCTCCGTGTGTTATTTTTCCTAAAGGATTGGTTGCCACACATTTATAATCACCTGAATGTTCCTCTGGATTAGCGTTTTTAATAATCAACTCTATATTTTCACCATCATATTTTAACTGAATTTTTTCAGTTGAATATAATGGTTGGTTATTATAGAGCCAGGCAATTTCTGGAACCGGATTACCGCTTACTTTAGCTAGTAGACGAATAGCACCACCAATAGGGACAAGTTGTTCCTCAAAACGTTCAATGAAAAGAGGTGGCTCACCACCTTCACTTGGCGCAGCTATAAGAGAAATTTAATATTAATTTTATTAACTTTCAGAAACAGAGTACATTGTGAAAGCTTTTTATATATTTGTTAAATTTGAATGTTATTAGAAATACAGCTTTATATACATAAATATGATTTCTAGCAGGTATTGCAGAGGGAAAGCATCACGTTTTATAAAAAAAATTTATAAGCAAAAAGGAATAAGCTGAAGCAGAAGTGACTCCTTCAAAATAACTATCAATACGACTCTTTGAAACAATACCTTCGATTGTCAAGAAAGCTGAGGTCTCAGCTGTTCCTAACTCGTTAACTGCTTTAACAACGTATTCACCCTTTTCACCTAATTTTGGTGAAATAATGGTTAAGGAATGTGTATCTTTGTCGGCTTTAATATCAGCTTTGTCAGTCTTTAAAACTTTTCCATCTTTATACCATGTAATTTTAGGGGTTGGATTGCCAAATATTTGAGTTGTCAAAACTACAGATTCACCCTCTTTGATCACAGTGTTTTTCAATGGTTCTAAAATTTGAGGCGCTTCTTTCTTTTTCGTTTTCACTTTTAATATAACTGGTAATATAGTTTCACCTTCACGATTTCTAGCAATAACTTCATAAGTACCCTCTTGCGATTTTTTGACATTTTTAATATGGACTATTGTACAATACATGTGCATATCAGATTCTACTACCACAGAAACGTTGTCTTCTTTTTTAACTTCCTTTCCATTAAATTTCCAAATTATTTCAGGTTCTGGTACAGCTACCAGACGACATTCCAAGATTGCTGTTTCACCTTCATCAACTATTATTGCTTTTGGTTTACGTGAGAATGTTGGTGGAATGCCTTCAATTATATCAGCTAAAGACGATTCTCTTGAAAGACTTCTTCTTGACAAACATGTTGCATCTGAGCCGTGATCAGATAGTGGTGTTTCCACAATCAGCTCTGTTGTACTTGACGCAAAACCTACAGTATTCTTAGCAACGCATGTAAACATTCCTGCGTCTTCAGGAAATACCTCACGTATAATTAATGTTGCAACATTATCTTCATCATAGTACATTTGGAAATCAGATGAAGGCTTAATAATGGCTGCCTGTCGGAACCATGTAATTTGTGGTCTTGGTATACCTTCAACTTTACATTCAAATTGAACAGTATAACCATCAGGAGTATGTATAGGTTGCAATTTTTCAATAAATCGTGGTGCCATTGTCTTCTCATTAGGTGCAGGTCCTTTATTAGTAGTTTTTAAAATAAATATTAATTATAATCTCAGTACTTTCAGATGTTTTTTTCAGTTATAATAATTGCATTTATATATTTGTAATTGAATTGAAATGCTTTATATTGTTCTACAAACTAAGAAGATAGAACTTAAAGTCTAAACTTAAATTTAAAACTTTATGTTTTATAAAAGAACAAAATAAGACACGTTATAAAAAATTGTAATATACAATATTGAAAAATAAAAGTGTCATTTTAGTTTCATAATATTGACTTTATCATAAGATTTGTGCGCAGCAACAGTATTTGCCTTAAGTCCACCTTTAAATAATCAGATTGACATTAGACTGATTATTTACGTAATTAAAATTTACGATACGACAAATCAAAGCTCAAATTATTTTGCTCTAAATTATTTAGGTATGTATGTAAATTTCAAAAAATAATCGTAAATATACTTACTTTCAAACACAGGTAGTTTGTCAATTTTAGAATATAACTTGTTTTGAACAAGTTCAAGATAATCATCCGGATTCATTAGATATTGTGACGGTACCCAACCTTTTTCGTCTGTTAAATATTTCTTAACCAGCCACCAATCTTCATTTTGTTTATTTAATACGTAAACCTTTTCACCTTCAACCAAGTCCAATGATTCGTCATTATCAGCAATATAAGTGCAAACGGCTTGCATAATTTCAGCATCACCAGATTCTAAAAAAAAAGACGAAAAATATAAATATTTCTTGTTGTTTTGTTTTAAACAGATATAACTAACCAACAACCGGCATTTCTTTCCTTATTTTGAGAGTTGCCGCTTCTGGAATATATTTTAAAAATTAATAAGTCGTGGTATAATTATAATATCAATTTCTTTTTTGAAAGCTCAATGTGCGTGTCAAATCAAAAACTTGCGTCGAATTTTGTTTTCTTTTGGTTTTATTGTTAGTATTGGATAAAATTTACCTCTCACAAGCGATCTGTTATCATATAAGCAATAAGCTACTTTTTTGTTTCTTAAGCGTAAATAAAAAGTTTAAATATTTTAAGCTAGATTATATAAAAGTAAGTATTTGTAATAATTGCTTGCTGTTGAAAAAAAGCAAAATTAATAGAAAATAAATATATTGAATGTTGATTGGCATATTTTAATAAAAAAAGCATTAAAAAGATAAAAACAAATTTTTTAAATATTATTTTTTTAAAGGAATATAGAAATCTGATAAGAACCTTCGTCTAATTTCTTTCCGAATGGTTTTCTTCTTTGCTGAATGTCCAACGAATCCTCCTCATCTGGTGCTTTTTCGTATGATTTAGGTTTTTTCAAAACAAGAGCTTCTTCCTCCTCTTCTTGTACTGAATAACTGGGAACTTGCTTTTTACTCTTGAGTGTTACATTAATATCCTTCGGTAAATCTTCAGCGAACATGTATTCTTCTGGTTCCTCCACATCATACATTGTATTATCACCTTCTTCATCACTGTCGCCTAAAACTTCTTGTATAATAGGTCCTTTACCATCATCAGCAATTTCTTTTATAACTTTTATTGAAATCTCTTCACTTTCTTCGTCGTAAGTTTTCTTATGTGGTTTTTTCAATTTTACTTTATCTGATATTGAAATTTCCTCCTCAGAATAAGACTCCAATGCAATATTAAAGGATTCATTAATTTCCTCCTTTGGCTTCTTTTTCTCTTTCTTTGGTTTTAACATAACTTCTTCAACACCAATTACTTCTTCAGGAATATCCTTTTTCTTCGGTTTTTTCAACTTGACTTCCTGTTCTTCTTCTTCTATATATTGCTTCTTCCGCGGTTTCTCCGGAGCCGAAATAATGATTTCTTCAACTCCTAGTAAATCATCAGGTACTTCTTCAATTCTTTTTATAACAAGCTCAGCGTTTTCTTCACCCATATCTTTTTTGATAATTTTATGGGGTTTTTTAATAGTTGCGGCTTCGGCTACACCTTCGTTTATGACTGAAGGCCTGCGCATAGACAAACTAACTTCATCGTATGATTCTGGCTCAATAATTGGTTTTTTCTTTTTGCTTATACGAAATTCTTCAACATCCTCCGTTTCTTCAACGTCTTGCATTCGTTTAATGGATAGTTCTGCACCTTCTTCATCAACCACAGGGATCATTTTTGATGGGCGTCGCATTACAACTTTGGCAGCCTCTTCAACGCCTTCAACTAGTACTGATTTTCTTCGAATTGCTATGTTAACACCTTCTTCTTCTAGTTCTTCGATAGACGGTTTTATTGCTTTCGGTTTCCTACTAACTACCACAGTTTCTTCAGCGTCCCCTTCATCATCAGGTACCTCTTCTTCACGTCTAATTTTTAATGCTGCAGCTTCTTCCCCAACTTGTATCGGTTTTGGTTTACGTTTTTGTATGACAGCCTCTTGCACATCAATATCCTCACCTTTTACTGGAGCTCTCTTTAGTTCAACTGTAAAATCGGAATCTTCTATTTCTTCTGTCTTAGGCACCTTTTTCTTGGGTTTCAACACAATATCAACATGCTCTTCTTCTATTTCTTCAGTCGGTGCTGGAACATCTATTTCCCGTTTGATATCCAATTTAACCTCTTCCACAACTTCTTCTTTTGGCTTTTTCTTTGGTTTTTTGAATTCAACTTCTGCCGGTTGAGGTTCTTGGGGCTTTTCGGGAGCTAACTTAATGCTTATCTCGGTATCTTCAATTTGTTCTTCAGGTGTTTCTTTGACTTTCTTTTTTGGTTTTAACAAAACTTCAACTTCTTCCTCTTCAATTATTTCATCTTGAACTGGAACTTCTTCTTCCCGTTTGATATCCAATTTAACTTCTTCAACTGCAGCCTCTTTTGGTTTCTTTTTCGGTTTCTTAAATTCTGCTTCAGCTGGTTGAGGCTCTTGTGGTTTTTCCGGAGCTAATTTAACGCTAACCTCAAATTCTTCCTCTGGTTTTTCTTCAACCTTCTTAGGTTTTAAAACTACTTCAATTTGTTCTTCCTCCACAACTTCGGTAGGAGCTGGAACTTCTTCTTTAACCTTTATTTCCAATTTCGCTTCTTCTACTGGTGCCTCCTTTGGCTTCTTTTTAGGTTTCTTAAATTCTACTTCAGCTGGTTGAGGTTCTTGGGGTTTTTCTGGAGCTAATTTAACGCTCACCTCAAATTCTTCCTCTGGCTTTTCTTCAACCTTCTTAGGTTTTAAGACTATTTCAATTTGTTCTTCCTCCACAACTTCGGTAGGAGCTGGAACTTCTTCTTTAACCTTTATTTCCAATTTCGCTTCTTCTACTGGTGCCTCCTTTGGCTTCTTTTTAGGTTTCTTAAATTCTGCTTCAGCTGGTTGAGGTTCTTGGGGTTTTTCTGGAGCTAATTTAACGCTCACCTCAAATTCTTCCTCTGGTTTTTCTTCAGCCTTCTTAGGTTTTAAGACTACTTCAATTTGTTCTTCCTCCACAACTTCGGTAGGAGCTGGAACTTCTTCTTTAACCTTTATTTCTAGTTTGGCTTCTTCTACTGGTGCTTCTTTTGGTTTTTTCTTAGGTTTCTTAAATTCTGCTTCTGCTGGTTGTGGTTCCTGTGGTTTTTCTGGAGCTAATTTAACACTCACTTCAAATTCTTCTTCTGGTTTCTCTTCAACCTTCTTAGGTTTGAGAACCACTTCAACTTGTTCTTCTTCTACAACTTCAGTAGGCGCAGGAATTTCTTCTTTAACCTTTATTTCCAGTTTCGCTTCTTCTACTGGTGCATCCTTTGGTTTTTTCTTCGGTTTTTTAAATTCTGCCTCTGCCGGTTGCGGTTCTTGTGGTTTTTCTGGAGCTAATTTTACGCTAACTTCAAACTCCTCGATTTCTTCAGTAGGTTTTTTCTTCTCCTTTTTAGGCTTAAGAAGAACTTCCGCTTGCTCTTCTGTGAATACTTCAGTAGGAGCTTCATCTTTTCGAACTACTTCAAAAACGACTTCTTCTTCTTCGACAACTTTTGGTTTTTGTTTAGGCTTCTTGATAACAGCTTCTTCAGTTGCTACCTCTTCAGGTTTTTTTGGAGTCAATACAACACTGAATTCTTCATTTTGTGCTTCTTCTACTTTTGGTTCTGGTTTTTTTGCTAACACAAAGTCAGCGGCGGGTTCTTCGACTGGTTCTTCTTTAATTGGTTTTTTCTGTTTAATTTTAAATCCTACTTCTTCTTCTTCAACAGGCTCTTGGGCAACAGGTTTTTTTTTCGATTTTTTAACAACAGAAATTTGTTCCGTTTCATGAACAACTGTCTCTGGTTGTTTTTCTAAAACTTGTATTTCTGCTGTTGGATATTCTTCCATAACAGGAGCAACTTGTTCTTCAAGTATTTCCACTTTGTCTTCTTCAATTTCTTTGATTTTCTCTGGAATTTCTTTCTGTTGCACAACAAATTCTTCAACCGGTTTTTCTTCTTTAGGCGCTGGCTTTGTATATTCTACTTGAGCTTCTACTGTTTCAGGAGATTTCTCCTTAGGTAACGTTATTTGTTGTTCAACCGGAGCTTCCTCAACCTTTTTCGGTTTCTTCTTTTTTGTTAACACACGTTCTTCTACAACCTCTTCCCACTCATGATCTCTTTCAAAGAAATCAACAACTTTAACTTGAAGATCGGGATAATCAGGTTCTTCTGTTTCAATAACAGATATATCATATGGCTTAAGTTCCTCTATAATTTCAATTGGTTTTTCAAGTTTTTCTTCTTCAGTAACTTCAATTTCTTCTTGCGGTTTTTCTTCTGGCTGCTCAACCACAACTTCTACCTTTTCTTCTTTTGGAGACTTTGGTTTTCCTTTTTCAGCAGGCTTTTTCTGTTTCGGTTTCTTTTCCTCAGTAGGCTTTTCTGGTAGAACTTCTGTTGGTTTTTCTTCAACGATTTCTTCAACTACATGCTTTTCTTGATCAAAAGCTTTAACTGGAATTTGATCAATTACAGTAGGTTCCTCCACTTTGTGTTCTTCATGCTCTTTTACGGTCACTTTGTCTTCCTTAAATTCATCTGGTGCAGGAGCTTCTTCTGATATTTTAAATTTAAAGTCTTCCACTTCAGTAATTTTAGGAACTTCTTTCGGTTTTTTCTTTTCTTTAACTTTAACCTCTTTTGGTTCCTCCGGAATTGGCTCTTCTTCCTGCATTTTCTCTTCAGCTTCTTCTACAGGTCTCTGACTTGGTTCGAATTCCATTAATTCTGCCTTTTCCAATTCTTTCTTGGGTTTTTTGCTTGGTTTAAATTTCTTATAATATTTTTCAAGTTCTTTTTCAGCTTCTTTCATATTTCTTGACAGTTCACCTTGTTGACGAACCGACCCAATATTCTTTAATTTCGGAATTTCAGGCTGCTGAATTTGAACGTATTCTATCTTGCTCTTTAACCTAAAACCAGGTATTGTTACGTTAGTCATTTCGGGTGCCTCACGGCGTTTTCCTGGTTTCAGTTTAACTTGTTGTGGTACATCTTGAGCATCTGAAATCACTAATTTGGTAGGCTGTTGTTGTTTTCTTTCAATTTTTTGTGGAAGAAGATGCTCTAGCCCTGGTTTTGTCGGTTTTTTAACCTCACTAAATTGTAATTTTTCGAATTTTTCGAGCTCTGTTTTTGAAACTTCTTGTTCCAATAAATGTTTAATAATATCATCTTGTGAATGTTTCCTGTCTTTTGGTTTTGGTGTTTTCTTCTTTTTAATGCCTTCTTTTGGTACCTCTTCGACTTTGGTTACTTCTTCTGGTCTTGATTTTAATTTAACCTGGAAAGGCTTATCCTCTTCTAATGGCTCGATTTTATCTTCTTCTTCGAAGCTAACAGATTTCGATTTTGATTTTTCTTTAGGCTGGTCTACAACTTCTTCTTCAATCACATTAATAGAATAATTGTCATAATTTTCAATTTTTTCACCTATTATGAAGAAATAAAATATAAAACAATTACAAAAATATTTACAAGAATTCTCTAAATCACTAAAACATATTGATGTTACCAACATATACATATACGCAAATAATACAATTTTATTGCTCTTATCTTAAATATTATACCTACATATATAAAAAACTTAATTCAATGTAATAAATTTTTAACAAATTCTTAATACCAAAGTATAACAAATAACATATTTGTTAAGTGATGAACATCGACTCTGTAGACAAATATAAAATTTATGCAACTATAATATATAAATTATTTTTTTAATTTTCCTATATATATAAATAATTTTTTTAATGTGGCAAGTCTTGTTATGTGACGAGTTGTTTAAATTTTTATATATTGAATAGAGTAAAACTATTTACAGTTGAGTTAAAGACCTTAAAATTATTAGTCTTAGTGTCTTTGTTTTTTTTTTGAAAGTTTATACCGAACGGGAAAGTCTTGCTTGGGTTTTCCATAATAATTCCATGTAATTTCTGAATTTATGTTTATAATACTTGTGGATTTATTTAATTATGTAACATTTAAACTCAAAAATATAAATTTACTAAAAAAAAGTCAAACCATTCCTTAAAATAAAAAAAATCATTATATTTATTAAAAATTGTTTCAAACTATTACAAATAAAAAATTTCATAAAAAAAAAAACAATTCATAAAAATATTTCAAAATCTAACTTTGGAACCAATTAACTAATTATGTCTATAAATATTGTAAACATGGTCATACTTCCATTATCCTTTGATCAATCAAACTATTAAACTCGGTAAGAAAATCGTTATTCGGATTTTTAAATATCGAATTTTGACAAAAATTGTTAATGTAAAAAATGAAAAAAAAAAAAAAAAAACAATTTTTGTCCAGTTACTTTGTTTAAAATTAATTATAATTACGAGTACTACATCTATAATTATTATATGTATGTCGCTGCATACATTATTGTAAATTTAAAAATTCGTAAAGATTAAAAAATAATACATACATAAAATAAATACAAAATGAATCATTCAAAACAATACTAAAAAAATTTATTTTACCTTTCTTAACTGAAAATCTTCAATAAAAAAATTTATACTAATAGTAATGAAATATTATGCTGTTATCATCAGTTGCCACCTGAGGCACCACCCATACTTTAAATAATTCGCCTTAAAATAAATTCCAAATTTTGGTCAGCAATTTGCAGTTAATTTATTTCTTGAGATATGCAATTATTAAAAGTATTCAATCCTAATATTATTTTCTGAGTATTAAATATTGTTTTTGTTTTTAATACCCAGGTGTTTTTTAAGTAAAACAAAATTTAAATTCACAAACTGATTTATACTGAAGAAATCATAATTATCCATAGGCTTCATAGAAACCTTTTTTTATAAATTTTATAATAATCATCATGAAAATACATTCTAATATATCTACATTTTACAGATACACTACATTACTACAACGATTATGAGCATAATATTAGCCCTTTAAAAATCATCTTGTTTAACTAAAAATTTAATTATTTTAATCTTACTGTTTCTAAAATAGCACATTTCCATAATAAAATTTAGTCTATAAATTATATTTGTATAACTTGAATAAGCATACAATACTTATTAAGGTATTATATATTTAAATTGTATACTTATTTAAGCTTTATAAACATCAAGAATTCTTTCAAAATTAAAAAAGAAAAGCTCTTTACCAGATTCATTTCCATATTTTCGAGTGACATTAGTTTTTAAGATATAATTAATAAAAACGTTATCTTTTGTATGCGAAAAAATTTTGTTTTAGAATAATAATTTCTTCGCGAAGATCCATTTACCTATAAAAACTTCAGCTCTCCATTTTATGTTTGAAATTTGGTAAACGAACAGACACGCACAAACATAGCGAAACTAAAATGACGATTTTTTAAAAATGTTTTGGAAATGTACTAGAAACTAATTATCTTAGTAAATATTGTTAATAAAAATTACTATTCTTTCATCAAGTATGTAAATGTACTGAAATATATATGCGTATAAACCTGCATATGTATATATTGTATGCATGTTGTTATTTTTGATTTTGTATTTTAAAATGTTATTTCTTAAAATGTACGTTTGTAAAGATATTTATTAATAATTTCCTTTGTGTTAAATTGTTTGGAAGTAAAAAGTAACTTACTTGGAACGTGTTTTTTGTGTGGTTTTGGTTTTTCTTCTGGTGTGACATCTTTCTGCTCTGTGTCAGATACAGTTATAGTGTCTTGTGGCAAATGTGTTTTATCTTCTGGGGTTTTTTCTTGTATAGTTTCAGTGACTTGTTCCAGTGTTTCAGGAATAATGTCTTTAACTTTTTTTGGTTGTTTTGGTTTCTTTTTCTCAACTTTTGTTACTTCAGTAATTTCAGGCTCTTTTACTTCAGTTATTGGAGCAACTTTTTCCTCTAATTCAGTCGGCTCTTCTGTTACTAAAACGTCTTGAATTTCTTCAATTGGTGCGGAAGGTAATGGCTCTTCCATTTCGGTAGGCTTGCTTTCATCATGAACAGATTTCTTTCTTTCTTCTTTCTTTTTCGTTTTGGGTTTCTGAACTTTCTCTTTAATCTTGGTTTCTTCCTGAGGTATCTCGTCTTCTTTTTCCTCATAAACAGTTAAAGGCGCTTCCTCAGTTTTTTCTTCCAACAAAGGTGTTTCTTCCTTTACGTCAACTTGCTTCTCTAAAACTTCTTTCGGCTTTTTGGGCTTTTTAGTTTCTTTTTTCTGGATAGATTCAACTACATCTTCCATTTTCTTATCTTCGTCTATTTTCGAGAAAGTGAATTCTTCTGGTTCCGCTGGAGTTTCTGTTTCATTTATTTTAACTTCTTCCTCATTTGGAATTAAAGATTTCTTTTTCTTTGGCTTCTTTTCTTTAGGCTTCTCAGAAACTTCTTTTACTTCTTCCTCATTTGGCACGACGTTTTCTTCACTTATAATTGCTTTTGAATCTCGTTTCTTTTCTTGAGGAACTTTCTCGAAATCTATTTTATCATAAGTTTCCAATTCCGTCTTTGGTATTTCAAATTCAATCAGCGATTTTATATAATCATCCAGATCGTCTTTCTTTACCTTTCTCGTCTTAGGCTTGCGTGGTTTTTCAGTGTCGGAAACGTCTTCAACTGTTGGAGCTTCATAAGTTGTCACAGTTACTTCTGTTGGCTTATCATCTTCTTGAACCTCCACAATTTCAATGACGTCTTCTTTTGGTCCTTGAGTTTTCTTAATTTTTCTCTTTGTAATCACTTGTTTCTTCTCTTCCCCAGTTTCATCAACAAAAGTTTTAGTTTCAACCTCTTTTGTTTCTTGTACTTGAACTGGTTCTGTTATTTCTTCTACCGGCAATTCTTCAGGTGCCTCTTCGGTAACTATTCCTGCAATAAATTCTTGAATTTCTTCTTTGGGAACTTGTTTGCTCACTCGTTTCTTTTGTTTGGGTTTTTGAGCCGGAATTTCTTCCTCAGTTACTTCTGGTGCCTCATAACTTATTATTGAGACATCAGCAAACGGTTGATCGTCACGTTGTACCTCTACAATTTCTACAATTTCTTCTTCTGGACCTTTCTTCTTTTTAACTTTACGTTTTGTAACAACTTCATGAATAACTTCTCCGGTCTCATCTACGACTTCCTTCTCCTCAACTTGCTTTTCAATTTCTTCAACTTCTATTGGATACGTTGGTTGCTCTTCTAAAACAGAAACTTTTTCTTCAACCGGTTTTTCTTTTGGTTTCTTAGCCTTTTTAATTGTTTTTATTTCCTCAGTTTCAGTTAACGTGACCTTCATTTCTTCAGGCTTTTCTTCTTCCTCTTTCACTTCTACTGATTCCTGTGGAACAATTGATACACGCTTCTTTTTTGGTTTTTTCTCCTTTGGTTTTTCTTCAGTTTCCTGTAGGGAAATGGGCAATTCTTCAGGAATTTCTTCTGCAACAATTTCTTGTTTTTTAACAGGCTTCTTTTTCTTTTCTTTTTCTACATCTACCTTTTCGTATTGTTCTAGTTCGGTCGTAGGAATTTCAAACTCGATTAGAGATTTTATATAGTCATCTAAATCGTCCTTCTTTACCTTCTTTGTTTTAGGCTTGCGAGGTTTTTCAGTATCGGATACCTCGTCAACTGCCGGAGCTTCGTAAGTTGTTACTGTAATTTCAGCTGGTTTATCATCTTCTTGAACTTCCTCAATTTCAATTACTTCTTCTTTTGGTCCTTGAGTTTTCTTAATTTTTCTCTTTGTAATCACTTGTTTCTTCTCTTCCCCAGTTTCGTCAACAAAAGTCTTAGTTTCCACCTCTTTTGTTTCTTGTACTTGAACTGGTTCTGTTATTTCTCCTACCGGCAATTCTTCAGGTGCTTCTTCGGTAACTATTCCTGCAATAAATTCTTGAATTTCTTCTTTGGGAACTTGTTTGCTCACTCGTTTCTTTTGTTTCGGTTTTTGAGCCGGAACTTCTTCCTCAGTTACTTCTGGTGCCTCATAACTTATTATTGAGACATCAGCAAACGGTTGATCGTCACGCTGTACCTCTACAATTTCTACAATTTCTTCTTCTGGACCTTTCTTCTTTTTAACTTTACGTTTTGTAACAACTTCATGAATAACTTCTCCGGTCTCATCTACGACTTCCTTCTCCTCAACTTGCTTTTCAATTTCTTCAACTTCTATTGGATATGTTGGTTGCTCTTCTAAAACAGAAATTTTTTCTTCAACCGGTTTTTCTTTTGGTTTCTTAGCCTTTTTAATTGTTTTTATTTCCTCAGTTTCAGTTAACGTGACCTTCATTTCTTCAGGCTTTTCTTCTTCCTCTTTCACTTCTACTGATTCCTGTGGAACAATTGATACACGCTTCTTTTTTGGTTTTTTCTCCTTTGGTTTTTCTTCAGTTTCCTGTAGGGAAATGGGCAATTCTTCAGGAATTTCTTCTGCAACAATTTCTTGTTTTTTAACAGGCTTCTTTTTCTTTTCTTTTTCTACATCTACCTTTTCGTATTGTTCTAGTTCGGTCGTAGGAATTTCAAACTCGATTAGAGATTTTATATAGTCATCTAAATCGTCCTTCTTTACCTTCTTTGTTTTAGGCTTGCGAGGTTTTTCAGTATCGGATACCTCGTCAACTGCCGGAGCTTCGTAAGTTGTTACTGTAATTTCAGCTGGTTTATCATCTTCTTGAACTTCCTCAATTTCAATTACTTCTTCTTTTGGTCCTTGAGTTTTCTTAATTTTTCTCTTTGTAATCACTTGTTTCTTCTCTTCCCCAGTTTCGTCAACAAAAGTCTTAGTTTCCACCTCTTTTGTTTCTTGTACTTGAACTGGTTCTGTTATTTCTTCTACCGGCAATTCTTCAGGTGCCTCTTCGGTAACTATTCCTGCAATAAATTCTTGAATTTCTTCTTTGGGAACTTGTTTGCTCACTCGTTTCTTTTGTTTGGGTTTTTGAGCCGGAATTTCTTCCTCAGTTACTTCTGGTGCCTCATAGCTTATTATTGAGACATCAGCAAACGGTTGATCGTCACGCTGTACCTCTACAATTTCTACAATTTCTTCTTCTGGACCTTTCTTCTTTTTAACTTTACGTTTTGTAACAACTTCATGAATAACTTCTCCGGTCTCATCTACGACTTCATTCTCCTCTACCTGCTTTTCAATTTCTTCAACTTCTATTGGATATGTTGGTTGCTGTTCTAAAACAGAAATTTTTTCTTCAACCGGTTTATCTTTTGGTTTCTTAGCCTTTTTAATTGTTTTTATTTCCTCAGTTTCAGTTAACGTGACCTTCATTTCTTCAGGCTTTTCTTCTTCCTCTTTCACTTCCACTGATTCTTGTGGAACAATAGATACACGCTTCTTTTTTGGTTTTTTCTCCTTTGGTTTTTCTTCAGTTTCCTGTAGGGAAATGGGCAATTCTTCAGGAATTTCTTCTGCAACAATTTCTTGTTTTTTAACAGGCTTCTTTTTCTTTTCTTTTTCTACATCTACCTTTTCGTATTGTTCTAGTTCGGTCGTAGGAATTTCAAACTCGATTAGAGATTTTATATAGTCATCTAAATCGTCCTTCTTTACTTTCTTTGTTTTAGGCTTGCGGGGTTTTTCAGTATCGGAAACATCGTCAATTGCCGGAGCTTCGTAAGTTGTTACTGTAATTTCAGCTGGTTTATCATCTTCTTGAACTTCCTCAATTTCAATTACTTCTTCTTTTGGTCCTTGAGTTTTCTTAATTTTTCTCTTTGTAATCACTTGTTTCTTCTCTTCCCCAGTTTCGTCAACAAAAGTTTTAGTTTCCACCTCTTTTGTTTCTTGCACCTGAACTGGCTCGGTTATTTCTTCTACCGGCAATTCTTCAGGTGCCTCTTCGGTAACTATTCCTGCAATAAATTCTTGAATTTCTTCTTTGGGAACTTGTTTGCTCACTCGTTTCTTTTGTTTGGGTTTTTGAGCCGGAACTTCTTCCTCAGTTACTTCTGGTGCCTCATAACTTATTATTGAGACATCAGCAAACGGTTGATCGTCACGTTGTACCTCTACGATTTCTACAATTTCTTCTTCTGGACCTTTCTTCTTTTTAACTTTACGTTTTGTAACAACTTCATGAATGATTTCCCCGGTCTCGTCTACGATTTCCTTCTCCTCAACTTGCTTTTCAATTTCTTCAACTTGTACTGGATACTCAGGTTGTTCTTCTAAAACAGAAATCTTTTGTTCAACTGGTTTTTCCTTTGGTTTCTTAACTTTTTTAATTGTTTTTATTTCCTCAGTTTCAGTTAATGTTATCTTCATGTCTTCAGGCTTTTCTTCCTCCTCTTTCACTTCTACTGATTCTTGTGGAACAATAGATGTACGTTTTTTCTTTGGTTTTTTCTCCTTTGGTTTCTCTTCAGATTCCTTTAGAGAAATTGGCAATTCTTCAGGAATTTCTTCTTCAACAACTTCATGTTTCTTGACCGGCTTCTTTTTCTTTTGTTTTTCTACATCTACTTTTTCGTATTGCTCTAATTCAGTTGTAGGTATTTCGAATTCTATCAAAGATTTTATATAATCATCTAGATCGTCTTTCTTTACTTTCTTTGTTTTAGGCTTGCGGGGTTTTTCAGTATCGGATACCTCGTCAACCGCAGGAGCTTCGTAAGTTGTTACTGTAATTTCAGCTGGTTTATCATCTTCTTGAACTTCCTCAATTTCAATGATTTCTTCTTTTGGTCCTTGAGTTTTCTTAATTTTTCTCTTTGTAATCACTTGTTTCTTCTCTTCCCCAGTTTCGTCAACAAAAGTTTTAGTTTCCACTTCTTTTGTTTCTTGCACCTGAACTGGCTCGGTTATTTCTTCTACTGGCAATGCTTCAGGTGCCTCTTCGGTAACTATTCCTGCAATAAATTCTTGAATTTCTTCTTTAGGAACTTGTTTGCTCACTCGTTTCTTTTGTTTGGGTTTTTGAGCCGGAACTTCTTCCTCAGTTGCTTCTGGTGCCTCATAACTAATTATTGAGACTTCAGCAAACGGTTGATCGTCACGTTGTACCTCTACGATTTCTACAATTTCCTCTTCTGGACCTTTCTTCTTTTTAACTTTACGTTTTGTAACAATTTCATGAATGATTTCCCCGGTCTCGTCTACGACTTCTTTCTCCTCAACTTGTTTTTCAATTTCTTCAACTTGTACTGGAAATTCTGGTTGCTCTTCTAATACAGAAATCTTTTCTTCAACCGGTTTTTCTTTTGGTTTCTTAGCCTTCTTAATTGTTTTTATTTCCTCAGTTTCAGTCAATGTGATCTTCATTTCTTCAGGCTTTTCTTCTTCCTCTTTCACTTCTACTGATTCCTGTGGAACAATAGATGTACGTTTTTTCTTTGGTTTTTTCTCCTTTGGTTTCTCTTCGGATTCCTTTACAGAAATTGGCAATTCTTCAGGAATTTCTTCTTCAACAACTTCATGTTTCTTGACCGGCTTCTTTTTCTTTTGTTTTTCTACATCTACTTTTTCGTATTGTTCTAGTTCGGTTGCAGGGATTTCGAATTCGATCAAAGATTTTATATAGTCATCTAGATCGTCTTTCTTTACTTTCTTTGTTTTAGGCTTGCGGGGTTTTTCAGTATCGGAAACCTCATCAATTGCCGGAGCTTCGAAAGTTGTTACTGTAATTTCAGCTGGTTTATCATCTTCTTGAACTTCTACAATTTCAATGACTTCTTCCTTTGGTCCTTTTGTTTTCTTAATTTTTCTCTTTGTAATCACTTGTTTCTTCTCTTCCCCAGTTTCGTCAACAAAAGTTTTAGTTTCCACCTCTTTTGTTTCTTGCACCTGAACTGGCTCGGTTATTTCTTCTACCGGCAATTCTTCAGGTGCCTCTTCGGTAACTATTCCTGCAATAAATTCCTGAATTTCTTCTTTAGGAACTTGTTTGCTCACTCGTTTCTTTTGTTTGGGTTTTGGGGCTGGAACTTCTTCCTCAGTTATTTCTGGTGCCTCATAACTTATTATTGAGACATCGGCAAACGGTTGATCGTCACGTTGTACCTCTACGATTTCTACAATTTCTTCTTTTGGACCTTTCTTCTTTTTAACTTTACGTTTTGTGACAACCTCATGGATGACTTCTCCAGTCTCATTCACAACTTCTTTCTCCTCAACTTGTTTTTCAATTTCTTCAACCTGTACTGGAAGTTCTGGTTGCTCTTCTAACACAGAAATCTTTTCTTCAACCGGTTTTTCTTTTGGTTTCTTAGCCTTCTTAATTGTTTTTATTTCCTCAGTTTCAGTCAATGTGACCTTCATTTCTTCAGGCTTTTCTTCTTCCTCTTTCACTTCTACTGATTCTTGTGGAACAATAGATGTACGTTTTTTCTTTGGTTTTTTCTCCTTTGGTTTCTCTTCGGATTCCTTTAGAGAAATTGGCAATTCTTCAGGAATTTCTTCTTCAACAACTTCATGTTTCTTGACCGGTTTCTTTTTCTTTTGTTTTTCTACATCTATTTTTTCGTATTGCTCTAATTCGGTTGTAGGGATTTCGAATTCGATCAAAGATTTTATATAGTCATCTAGATCGTCTTTCTTTACTTTCTTTGTTTTAGGCTTGCGGGGTTTTTCAGTATCGGAAACCTCATCAATTGCGGGAGCTTCGAAAGTTGTTACTGTAATTTCAGCTGGTTTATCATCTTCTTGAACTTCTACAATTTCAATGACTTCTTCCTTTGGTCCTTTTGTTTTCTTAATTTTTCTCTTTGTAATCACTTGTTTCTTCTCTTCCCCAGTTTCGTCAACAAAAGTTTTAGTTTCCACCTCTTTTGTTTCTTGCACCTGAACTGGCTCGGTTATTTCTTCTACCGGCAATTCTTCAGGTGCCTCTTCGGTAACTATTCCTGCAATAAATTCCTGAATATCTTCTTTAGGAACTTGTTTGCTCACTCTTTTCTTTTGTTTGGGTTTTTCAGCCGGAACTTCCTCCTCAGTTACTTCTGGGGCCTCGTAACTTATTATTGAAACATCGGCAAACGGTTGATCATCACGTTGCACTTCTACGATTTCTACAATTTCTTCTTTTGGACCTTTCTTCTTTTTAACTTTACGTTTTGTAACAATTTCATGAATGACTTCTCCAGTCTCATCCACAACTTCTTTCTCTTCAACTTGTTTTTCAATTTCTTCAACCTGTACTGGAAATTCTGGCTGCTCTTCTAATACAGAAATCTTTTCTTCAGCCGGTTTTTCTTTTGGTTTCTTAGCCTTCTTAATTGTTTTTATTTCCTCAGTTTCAGTCAATGTTATCTTCATTTCTTCAGGCTTTTCTTCTTCCTCCTTCACTTCCACCGATTCCTGTGGAGCAACAGATGCACGTTTTTTCTTTGGTTTTTTCTCCTTTGGTTTCTCTTCGGAATCTTTAACGGAAATCGGCATTTCTTCAGGAATTTCTTCCTCAACAACTTCATGTTTCTTGACCGGTTTCTTTTTCTTTTGTTTTTCTACATCTATTTTTTCGTATTGCTCTAATTCGGTTGTAGGGATTTCGAATTCGATCAAAGATTTTATATAGTCATCTAGATCGTCTTTCTTTACTTTCTTTGTTTTAGGCTTGCGTGGTTTTTCAGTATCCAAAATGTCCTCAACTGTTGGAGCTTCATAAGTTGTTACTGTAATTTCAGCTGGTTTATCATCTTCTTGAACTTCCACAATTTCAATTACATCTTCTTTTGGTCCTTTTGTTTTTTTGATTTTCCTCTTTGTAATAATTTGTTTTTTCTCTTCTCCAGTTTCGTCAACAAAAGTTTTAGTTTCAACTTCTTTTGTTTCTTGAACTTGAACTGGCTCGGTTATTTCTTCTACTGGCAATTCTTCAGGTGCCTCTTCGGTAACTATTCCTGCAATAAATTCCTGAATTTCTTCTTTAGGAACTTGTTTGCTCACTCTTTTCTTTTGTTTGGGTTTTTGAGCCGGAACTTCTTCCTCAGTTACTTCTGGAGCCTCGTAACTTATTATTGAAACATCGGCAAACGGTTGATCATCACGTTGCACTTCTACGATTTCTACAATTTCTTCTTTTGGACCTTTCTTCTTTTTAACTTTACGTTTTGTAACAACTTCATGAATGACTTCTCCAGTCTCATCCACAACTTCTTTCTCCTCAATTTGTTTTTCTATTTCTTCAATTTGTACTGGGTATTCAGGTTGTTCTTCTAAAACAGAAATCTTTTGTTCAACTGGTTTTTCCTTTGGTTTCTTAACTTTTTTAATTGTTTTTATTTCCTCAGTTTCAGTTAATGTTATCTTCATGTCTTCAGGCTTTTCTTCCTCTTCTTTCACTTCTACTGATTCTTGTGGAACAATAGATGTACGTTTTTTCTTTGGTTTTTTCTCCTTTGGCTTCTCTTCGGATTCTTTAACGGAAATCGGCATTTCTTCAGGAATCTCTTCCTCAACAACTTCATGTTTTTTGGCCGGTTTCTTTTTCTTTCGTCTTTCTACATCTACTTTTTCATATTGCTCTAATTCGGTTGTAGGAATTTCAAATTCGATTAGAGATTTTATATAATCATCTAGATCGTCTTTCTTTACTTTCTTTGATTTAGGCTTGCGTGGCTTTTCCGTATCAGAAATTTCTTCGACCGTTGGAGCCTCATAGGTTGTCACTGTGATTTCAGCTGGTTTATCATCTTCTTGAACTTCGACAATTTCAATCACGTCTTCTTTTGGTCCTTTGGTTTTTTTAATTTTTCTTTTTGTAATAACTTGTTTCTTTTCTTCTCCTGTTTCGTCGATAATAGTCTTAGTTTCAACTTCTGTGGTTTCTTGCACTTGAACAGGGATTTCTTCCGGCTTCTCTTCAGAAATTACTTCGGTAATAAATTCTATTACATCTTCTTTAGGAATCTTTTTAGTAACCTTCTTTTTATGCTTAGGTTTCTCATGTACTGTGTCTTCGTGAACGTCTTCTGGTTCATCGTAAGATATGATTGAAACATCTGCAAATGGTTGTTCATCGCGTTGAACTTCTTCTATTTCGACTATTTCGTATCCCTTGTCTTTTTTCTTTTTTATTTTACGTTTAGTAACAATTTCGTGAACAACTTCTCCAGTTTCTGTTATAACATCTTTTTCTTCTACTTGTTTATCAATTTCTACATTTTCAGGTTTTTTCAAATCTAACTGCTTAGGCGAAATTTCTTCTTGTTCTTTAGATTTTTCAAATGGTTTTAGTTCAATTATTTCTCTTTCATCCAATTCCTGCGGTATTTTACCTTTACCAAGTACAATTTTGTGTTCTAATTCCTTTTCTTCTAACTTCTTTTTTGTGGGTCTTTTATATTTGGGTTTAATTTCGGTAACTTCTAAAGGTTCTTGTTCTATACTTTCGAATTCTACCTTTTCTAATTCGGTCTCTTCAAATTCTTTTGGTTTAAATGGTTTATGTTTTTTCTTCAATAGTTTAAGAGCTTCTTCTACATTACGTGATAATTCTCCTCTTCCACGTATAGTGTTTAATGATTTGTACTCCCATGGAATTGGAGCAGGTTCAAATGGAATAAATTTGATACGACTTTTCAATTTAAATCCTTTGAAAAGAACTTCTTCGTTAACTTTTTTGCCTTTTTTCAATTTTCCAATTTGCTTAAGAGTTGGATATTCTTCAGCTGAACATATTTCAACTTTCGTTGGTTTTTTGATTTCTACACGTTCAATTTGCATCGGAACCAATTCAGAAACCTTTGTCGGTAGTGATTTACTCAATTTAGCTTTCCTTGGTGCATCGATATTAACTTTTTCATATTGTTGTAAAACTGTTTTTGGTATTTCTTGCTCTATTAACATTTGAATATACTTATCATAATCAGTTTTCTTTGGTTTTTTAACAATCTTCTTTTTCTTTTGTTTCGTTTCAGGATGCTCTTTGTCTACAATCTGGTCAGACTCAGTTAAAGTGTAATCATAAGATTGAAGTTTTTCTTCTGGTAATGTTTCTGGTATTGTTTTTTGTGTAAGTGTTTTATCTCTTGGTATATCATCTACTTCTGAGATAGTGTAGGTACCTATTTATTATACATTACCACAATAAATAATCTTAAAAATTATTATAAATACATACATATTATGTAGAGGAATAGGAAGAAAAAGTATAAGAAAAATTTATATATAGTTCATTGCACTAAAACCAAAGTTAACAAAGAATGAATAATGAAAAAAAAAATGTTAGATGTCACTACGTGCACTAAAATGAAATATTTTATAGAGTAAAAATTAAAAAGGGATTTTTCGGGAAAAACAAAACAAAAAAACAATAAAAAAAGTAAGAAAAATAAAAAAAATGCTTAAAAAATTAATAAAAAAATTTAAGTTCGGATAAATCGAATTTGTTTGAAATTTTGAAAAATTTTAATTGTTCAATCATTCAAAAAAATTATGTATGTTGATAATTTTGATATTGGTCATTTCAATGTTTTATGATTTTAGATAAGAAATTATTTAATTTTTCAAATAATTTGAGTATAACAAATTTTCATGAAATATAAGTGGCTATAACAGTTGTTTTATAACTTCCCATGTGGAAAAATTACTTTTCATGTTACCTAACGTAGTTACGTATTATTAATAAATAATTATTTTTAACCCATAAATACTGCCAGCAGTATTTATGGATTAAATATTTAACAAATTTTTAAAATTGTAATTTTTTTTAGTTTTTCAACAAAAATTTTTACTTAATGAAATAACAGTTACCTCTAAAATATACATACATACATATGTATAATTCATTATGATACATTATAATGAATTGTGTATATTTTATGTGATAGCATAAAATTGAGAGAAATATATGAGTGATTAATATTTTTTTTACAGGAGAAAAAATATGCCATACAAAAAATTTAGGAGAATTTTATCTTGGACAGACTTAATGTTGTCAAGCTTGATGAAATAAACTTGCCTATCGAATTCTAAAGAGATAGTCCAGAATTTTTGAACCGCGGTGTTTACATAAAGCTTTTAAAACACATTAATCAAAATGTCGAGAGATATTGCATCACTTTCGAAAGCGATTTCAGATCCAATTGACGTATATTCGAACTAAGAAAAAAATTATTAGTAAAATTGTATATAAAACAAAGATCACTTTTGCGAAAAGAAGCAGCAAGAGAACCAGGAAAACGTTTCATAATGTTTTCCTATCAGAAGAATAGGAAAACTGTCTACATGTATTGCACGTTTACAAAGCCAATATATCTATTACATAGTAAAACATCATATTTGAACTATGGGGCAACAACGTAATATGGTAGATTGCGCGTCCTTGTTATGTGTGAGTAATAAATTTTCTATTATTATTACTGTTTTTATTAATATTTTTGATATAAAATGAGGTTTAAAAAAGAATATTGTTATTTTTAAATTTTTTTAAATTAAATTATGAAATTTATAAAATTTGAATCTATATTTTAATTACCTAAAACCTGTTTTTTTTTGCTTTTTTAACTTCATTGGACTCAAAATATATTAAAGAGAATATGAAAACTTCTATATGTGTATATTTTAACCGATGGTAATTTTTGATGAATTTTTAATTACTTTGCTTTTTACCTGTCCCTGAAACCGACAGCAGCTATTTTTTTAAGATTATCTTTTAAGGTTTAAAAGATAACCCTTTAAATTTTTAATAATAATTAAAACCACATACATCTAGCTGCAAATTATTTATTATATATATATAAAGAAAGGCAATACTATTTCCAAACACAAGAATAAAAAATATGGATCGTTTATTTTGGAGCTGACCAAGTCTATTTTATTGCAATGTTTTATTGCAACCATTAATTTTTCTCCACAATAGCATAATGTTTAATTTTAGCTTTTCTTATATGATATCTAGAAAAATAACAGGGGCAAATGAACTTTAGCTCAGTTTCAAAATAAACAATTTATTTATATATGTCTGTGCACATTTTACAATCTTTTCGTGTATTTGTTACATATTTCTGTGTACATGTAATTAACATGGCAAAATATTGTTTGGAATTTATTTTATTCATTACAATTTAATGCACAAATAACTTAACCGAACCTTTATTAAGATATTTAAACTTTTTTACTATGACATTAATTCATCTTTACTTACGTAAATTTTTCTAAGCAATTTACTAATTCTATTATTTACTAATTTTAGTTTTCATTCTTCTCACAAATGAAATCAATAATTTCATTCTCGTATTTTAAAAAGTTAATATTGAAATTAAAAACTTAAAAAAGTGTAAAAGGAACCAAAAGTTAATTTTCAACAGAAGAAGGCTCATTTAGAGTAATAGACAAGATTAATTTATGCCAATTTAAGTGGGTCTAAAATATTATTATATTTTATTATCATATTTATATTTTATTTATATTATGTTTATTTATACATACATACATCTATATTTAAATTTTAACAATAACTGTTTGATTAATATTTTAAAACTATTTTCTAAGCAGCTACATATATATTTGTTTTAACAGGGAATGCAAGAAAATAGATTGAAGTAAAGTCAGAAAATTCTATAGAACATATTGTTTCGTTTGAAAAAATGTTACAAACTAAATCATATAAACATTCGTTATTTTTACAGACCCAAATAGATGAGAAGACATCTACATTTTGAACGAAAATATGATAAAAAAAAGGAATGGAAAGAACTGTGCCCTCGTATATTTTTTTGTATAGTTTACATAATTCTCTTTGTGAAGACAAGATTTGAGTTGCATCTCACGGTCAGTCACCATTACTATACATTATTTCTTAAAGATATGACCCTAAAACTTAAATTTCTTAAAAAAAAATAATTAAACTTATCTTTTTTGGCTAGCAAAATTTTTAAATTTAAAATAAAAATGTATGTATGTAGTTTTAAAAAAAACTTGCATTGAATGGATATGATCAAATATGTCAAATAGACCTCGTAATAAATTCGGTAGGCAATTCAACACACCTAGAAAGAGAACTCAGAACTTAGTTATGAACAAAACTGTTGACACAACCACAAATCAGCAGATTAGTAGGTTTCTCTAATTGGAATTCATTACGTTTGTGTAACATAGAAAAATACATTTCCGCTTAATCTTCTAAATACGTTTTTTCTTTTTAGCATTTTTCCAAAAAAATTTTGAAAAGAAGTGCTTACTAGTTTCACTCTGTCCGTTCGCAGTCATGTTCACAAAACTTTTCCACCCTAAAAGATAGAAACCAGAAACTTATCTCCGTAGTAGAAAATATTTACCTATTTCCCCACTTTTTAAAAGCTATAGCCCCCCAAAATACAATTATAAAAGTTATAACCCCTTGTTAAAATACTATTGTTCAGCTATTCATTACAGCGATACCATAAGCATTTTTAAATTTTGGAAACGCAGAAAAATAGTGGCTTGCTTCTTGTGCATATCATACATGAATTTAAAAAAAAAAACAAAATGGCCGTTTAAATTTACCACTACCTAAAACCCATTTTTTCGAAAATGTGTTTTAGGTAGTGGTAAAATGAAACGAAATTTTGTATTTTATTTTTCTTCTAAACGGAAAGTTTTAGAATTTTTTCTTAGTTTCAATTTTAGCAGCTTTTGGACACTAATAACTAGTTCATTTTGTCAGAAGAAAGCTTTTTTTCCACCTACATCCCCTTTCAAATTATCGCTTTTCTAAATTTGTTAAATTTGAATTTTCGTCACCTTATATGTTCAAAACTGTAAGCTTTTTTGAATTTCTATAAATGGAGAAAGCTAACGGTAAATGTCATGCCATTAAAAAATATAATTAGTTTTCTTAACTCACGCAATCAACCCTTAAGTTCGCAAATTATTTTAACGCTTCTTTCAATTGATGGCAAGAAATTTTGCATATTGAGTCTTCGGTGGTAATGCACTTCTCCATGGTAGGGAAGAACTGCATTACCACCGAAATTATGTGTAATATTATATATAACTTTCCTACTATGGAGAAGTGCACTCCCATCGAAAACTCGATATGCAAAATTTCTTGCCATCACATAACCTACATATTGTATACACAATACGGTCGGTAAAAATTAAAGTATTATCAAAAACCTTGACAGATATATCCCTTTGAATATAAGTATATATTTTTTGAAACTAGTTCTGTAAGACCCAAATATCAATGTAAAATTCCGGTAGAAAATTCATTTACAAAGTGTTGAACGACCTTAGAAATCTTGCAATCCATTTAACGATAAACATTCCAGGTACGATGAAAATCGGTAATTTCCCACTAGTGAGGTTTTGAAAGTATTCTTAAACCTTACGCAGAGTTCTGAACACGATGTATACCAAACGGTTTTGTTATTGCTCACTGCTATATAGGGTGTAAAACAAGTTCCCAATTGGGATTTCACGTCGCTGAGGCCCGAAATTATTTTACCTTTTTTTTTCAACCGGCTGTAGCTCGAAAACGAGTGTATCTGCACAATATCACATCATACAAGTTTTGCTGGAATCATCCCTGAAATTATTTGCCACCATATGCAAAAAAAACATTGTTTATTTTTGCACGGATTCTGATTGATTAGTACAATTTGTGCATCAATCAAATATTCAAGCCAACACAGCTCAACTGGATCCCAGATATTGAAGCTTAAAGTAAATTTATCTTATTTTTTATGATATTTTCGTTTCTGTGTAAAATATAGGCATGATTGAATTTTTGCGAGTTCAAATGAAAGTTAAGACTTCAAAGCGAAACTTTCCAATGAACACATATAAAAGTTATAATCGGGTCAAATTTTCAACATAATTTCAAGCATTATATTGAATATTTTTTCAACTGACATGTTTCTTGAACTTTCAGTGGAAATATTTTCACATCATAATTAAATTTTGCGTAATTAATGTTATTTACAGTATGTTTTTCCTTTAATATTTTCCTTTCCATTAAAATTAAAAAGCTAAATTAAAACAACGCTTTTTTAATACGCAGGATTTCACTATAGAAATAATTTAGTAAACTGATAGTGAAAAAAGTGGAGAAAAAATTTTGATTTGAAATGTAAAAAGTTTGTCAAATAAAATTCAACTTCACCTTCAAATTCTTCAGGCTTTTCTTCTTCAGAATATTTTTCGTCCGAATCACTTAAACTCTCTTCTATTTTAACATCTCCTTTTGTAATAATTTTTTTGCTCTTTCTTTTAATTATCGGTTTACCGTCCTCCGTTTTCTCTGTTTCAAATGTTGTTACAATTTCAACATCCCCAACATCTTCCGGTACTTCTGTTACTAGGAATTGTGTTATTAATTTAAAATGTAATTTTTATAATTAAAAATAAAAACTAATTACAAAAATGTTTCTATAGTGTGTAATATGTGAGAATGTGTTAAAATATATGTCTTACCAGAGTGTTTTTTTGTTTTTGGTTTTTTATGTGTATGTTTTTCGTGTTTTGGTATATTTTCGACGTTATCTAGGGAGCTAACATCTATTATATTAGGGATATTGTCGTCTGAAAGTACTCGCAAAACCGTATCTTTTTCATCGAAATCAGGTTCTTCTTCATGAATTTCGGTTGTAAATGAAATAGTGGTAATCGGCTCTTTACCCTCTTCTTCTACCGTTATTATTTCAGTAATTTCATCTAAATTCTCATCTTTAGGTTTCTTAAATTTCTTTTTTGTTGTTTTAATTTCTTTGACATTTCCTGTATCATCCACTATAGTGTCCATACTAATAGTTTCGGGAAGCTCCTCGACGAAAACTGAATCCTCGTTAATATCGTCAACAGATGGGGCAACATTTTCTTCAACAGTAATAGTTGTAACAGGAGCTTTTTCGTATTCCTCAACAGTCTGAATTTTAGTAATTTCCTGTTTGTCTCCCACAGTCTTCTTTATTATTCTTGTTCGAACAACAGTTTTACGAGGTATTCCATCCTCTGATTCGGTGAAGAAAATTTGTGTTTGTTCTGGTAGTTCTTCAACGATTACCTTATCAGTTTTTGGAGCTCGTTTCTTTAGTTTTTCGAAAGAAGTTTTAATATCATCTTCTTGGGGTTCGTTAAATTCAGGTTTTGGGGCTTTCTTTTTTCTTTTATCTCCAGATTTTTTATCTCTTGGTAGAACGTCTTCCGGTAGTTCCTCAATATACTCATGCTTATCTTCCAGTGGAATTTCCTCGGTTTCAAAAGTAGTGACAGGTGCTTTACCTTCTTCTTCCACCACTTTAATTTTAGTGATTTCTTCTTTTCCTTTCTTAATTTTCTTAATCACTTTTGTTTTAACTTTTGTTATAGTAGGTTTACCTTCTTCCGTCAGCGTTTCAAATACTTGTATATCCTCTGGAAGTTCCTCAATATATTCTGGCTTTTCTTCCAAAGGAATTTCTTCAGTTTCCACAGTAGTAACAGGTGCTTTTCCTTCTTCTTCGACTACTTTAATCTTAGTGACTTCTTCTTTTCCTTTCTTAATTTTCTTAATAACTTTTGTTTTGACTTTAGTCTTAGTGGGTTTACCTTCTTCTGTGAAAGTTTCGAATACTTGTACATCTTCTGGCAGCTCTTCAATATATTCTGGCTTTTCTTCCAAAGGAACTTCTTCAGTTTCCACAGTAGTAACAGGTGCTTTTCCTTCTTCTTCGACTACTTTAGTTTTAGTGACTTCCTCTTTTCCTTTCTTAATTTTCTTAATAACTTTTGTTTTGACTTTAGTCTTTGTAGGTTTACCTTCTTCTGTAAAGCTCTCAAACACTTGGACATCCTCTGGTAATTCCTCGATATATTCCGGCTTTTCTTCCAAAGGAAATTCTTCGGTTTCCACAGTAGTAACAGGTGCTTTACCTTCTTCTTCAACAACTTTAATTTTAGTGACTTCTTCTTTTCCTTTTTTAATTTTCTTAATAACTTTTGTTTTGACTTTGGTCTTTGTAGGTTTACCTTCTTCTGTGAAAGTTTCAAACACTTGTACATCTTCCGGAAGTTCTTCAATATATTCCGGCTTTTCTTCCAAAGGAACTTCTTCAGTTTCCACAATAGTAACAGGTTCTTTACCTTCTTCTTCAACAACTTTAATTTTAGTGACTTCTTCTTTTCCTTTTTTAATTTTCTTAATAACTTTTGTTTTGACTTTGGTCTTTGTAGGTTTACCTTCTTCTGTGAAAGTTTCAAACACTTGTACATCTTCCGGAAGTTCTTCAATATATTCTGGCTTTTCTTCCAATGGAACTTCTTCAGTTTCCACAATAGTAACAGGTGCTTTACCTTCTTCTTCGACTACTTTAATTTTAGTAACTTCTTCTTTTCCTTTCTTAATTTTCTTAATAACTTTTGTTTTGACTTTGGTCTTTGTAGGTTTACCTTCTTCTGTGAAAGTTTCAAACACTTGTACATCTTCCGGAAGTTCTTCAATATATTCTGGTTTTTCTTCCAAAGGAATTTCTTCAATTTCTACAGTAGTAACAGGCACTTTACCTTCTTCTTCGATTACTTTAATTTTGGTAATTTCTTCTTTTCCTTTTCCAATTTTCTTTATTATTTTCGTTTTGACTTTAGTCTTAGTGGGTTTTCCATCTTTTGTGAAAGTTTCAAACACTTCCACGTTTTCTGGAAGTTCTTCAATGTATTCAGATTTCTCTTCCAACGGAATTTCTTCGGTTTCGACTGTAGTGACAGGTGCTTTACCTTCTTCTTCAACCACTTTAATTTTAGTAACTTCTTCCTTTCCTTTTCCAATTTTCTTGACAACTTTTGTTTTGACTTTAGTCTTAGTGGGTTTACCTTCCTCTGTGAAGGTCTCAAACACTTGAACTTCTTCTGGGAGTTCCTCAATGTATTCCGGCTTTTCTTTCAAAGGAATTTCTTCGGTTTCGACAGTAGTAACAGGTGCTTTACCTTCTTCTTCTACTACCTTAATTTTAGTGACTTCTTCTTTTCCTTTTTTAATCTTCTTAATAACTTTTGTTTTGAATTTAGTCTTTGTGGGTTTGCCTTCCTCTGTAAAAGTCTCAAACACTTGAACTTCTTCTGGGAGCTCCTCAATGTATTCCGGCTTTTCTTCCAAAGGAATTTCTTCGGTTTCGACAGTAGTAACAGGTGCTTTACCTTCTTCTTCAACAACTTTAATTTTAGTAACTTCTTCTTTTCCTCTCTTAATTTTCTTAATAACTTTGGTCTTCACTTTAGTCTTTGTGGGTTTGCCTTCTTCTGTGAATGTTTCAAAGACCTGCACATCCTCCGGAAGTTCCTCAATATACTCAGGCTTTTCTTCCAAAGGAATTTCTTCTGTTTCTACAGTAGTAACAGGTGCTTTACCTTCTTCTTCAACAACTTTAATCTTAGTGACTTCTTCCTTTCCTTTTTTAATTTTCTTAACAACTTTTGTTTTGACCTTAATCTTAGTAGGTTTACCTTCTTCTGTAAAAGTCTCAAACACTTGAACTTCTTCTGGGAGCTCCTCAATGTATTCCGGCTTTTCTTCCAAAGGAATTTCTTCTGTTTCGACAGTAGTAACAGGTGCTTTACCTTCTTCTTCTACTACTTTAATTTTAGTGACTTCTTCTTTTCCTTTTTTAAGCTTCTTAATAACTTTTGTTTTGACTTTAGTCTTTGTGGGTTTGCCTTCTTCTGTGAATGTTTCAAAGACCTGCACATCCTCCGGAAGTTCCTCAATATACTCAGGCTTTTCTTCCAAAGGAATCTCTTCAGTTTCCACAGTAGTAACAGGTACTTTACCTTCTTCTTCAACAACTTTAATCTTAGTGACTTCTTCTTTTCCTTTTTTAATTTTCTTAACAACTTTTGTTTTGACTTTAATCTTAGTAGGTTTACCTTCCTCTGTAAAGGTCTCAAACACTTGAACTTCTTCTGGGAGCTCCTCAATATATTCCGGCTTTTCTTCCAGAAGAATTTCTTCAGTTTCGACAGTAGTAACAGGTGCTTTACCTTCTTCTTCTACTACTTTAATTTTAGTGACTTCTTCTTTTCCTTTTTTAAGCTTCTTAATAACTTTTGTTTTGACTTTAGTCTTTGTGGGTTTGCCTTCTTCTGTGAATGTTTCAAAGACCTGCACATCCTCCGGAAGTTCTTCAATATACTCAGGCTTTTCTTCCAAAGGAATTTCTTCAGTTTCCACAGTAGTAACAGGTGCTTTACCATCTTCTTCAACAACTTTAATCTTAGTGACTTCTTCTTTTCCTTTTTTAATTTTTTTAACAACTTTTGTTTTGACTTTAATCTTAGTAGGTTTACCTTCCTCTGTAAAGGTCTCAAACACTTGAACTTCTTCTGGGAGTTCCTCAATGTATTCCGGCTTTTCTTCCAAAGTAATTTCTTCGGTTTCTACAGTTGTAACAGGTTGTTTTCCTTCTTCTTCAACCACTTTAATTTTGGTGACTTCTTCTTTTCCTTTCTTAATTTTCTTAATAACTTTCGTCTTGACTTTAGTCTTAGTAGGTTTACCGTCCTCTGTGATCGTTTCAAATACTTCAATATTTTCTGGAAGTTCCTCAATATGTTCAGGCTTTTCTTCCAAAGGAATTTCTTCGGTTTCGACAGTTGTAACAGGTTGTTTTCCTTCTTCTTCAACCACTTTAATTTTGGTGACTTCTTCTTTTCCTTTCTTAATTTTCTTTATAACTTTTGTTTTGACTTTAGTCTTTGTGGGTTTACCTTCTTCTGTGAAAGTTTCAAACACTTCAATATTTTCTGGAAGTTCCTCAATATATTCAGGCTTTTCTTCCAAAGGAATTTCTTCAGTTTCGACAGTTGTAACAGGTTGTTTTCCTTCTTCTTCTACCACTTTAATTTTAGTGACTTCTTCTTTTCCTTTCTTAATTTTCTTAATAATTTTTGTTTTGACTTTAGTTTTTGTGGGTTTACCTTCTTCTGTGAAAGTTTCAAACACTTGAACATCCTCCGGAAACTCTTCAATGTATTCAGGCTTTTCCTCCAAAGGAACTTCTTCAGTTTCCACAGTGGTGACAGGTTCTTTACCTTCTTCTTCAACCACTTTAATTTTAGTGACTTCTTCTTTTCCTTTCTTAATTTTCTTAATAACTTTCGTCTTGATTTTAGTCTTAGTAGGTTTACCGTCCTCTGTGATCGTTTCAAATACTTCAATATTTTCTGGAAGTTCCTCAATATATTCAGGCTTTTCTTCCAAAGCAATTTCTTTGGTTTCAACAGTAGTAACAGGTGCTTTACCTTCTTCTTCTACCACTTTAATTTTAGTGACTTCTTCTTTTCCTTTTTTAATTTTTTTAATAACTTTAGTTTTAACTTTGGTTTTTGTGGGTTTACCTTCTTCTGTGAATGTTTCAAACACTTGCACATCCTCCGGAAGTTCTTCAATATATTCAGGCTTTTCTTCCAAAGGAATTTCTTCAGTTTCCACAGTAGTAACAGGTGCTTTACCTTCTTCTTCAACTACTTTAATTTTGGTGACTTCTTCTTTTCCTCTCTTAATTTTCTTAATAACTTTGGTCTTAACTTTAGTCTTGGTAGGTTTACCTTCTTCTGTGAGAGTTTCAAAAACTTGTATATCCTCTGGAAGCTCTTCAATATATTCAGGCTTTTCTTCCAAAGGTATTTCTTCAGTTTCGACAGTTGTAACAGGTGCTTTACCTTCTTCTTCAACTACTTTAATTTTAGTGACTTCTTCTTTTCCTTTCTTAATCTTCTTAACAACTTTTGTTTTGACTTTAATCTTAGTGGGTTTGCCTTCTTCTGTAAAGGTTTCAAACACTTGTACATCTTCTGGTAGCTCCTCAATATATTCTGGCTTTTCTACCAAAGGAATTTCTTCAGTTTCGACAGTTGTTACAGGTTCTTTACCTTCTTCTTCAACTACTTTAATTTTCGTGACTTCTTCCTTTCCTTTCTTAATTTTTTTAATAACTTTTGTTTTGACTTTGGTTTTTGTGGGTTTACCTTCTTCTGTGAATGTTTCAAACACTTGCACATCCTCCGGAAGTTCTTCAATATATTCAGGCTTTTCTTCCAAAGGAATTTCTTCAGTTTCCACAATAGTAACAGGTGCTTTACCTTCTTCTTCAACTACTTTAATTTTGGTGACTTCTTCTTTTCCTCTCTTAATTTTCTTAATAACTTTGGTCTTAACTTTAGTCTTAGTAGGTTTACCTTCTTCTGTGAGAGTTTCAAAAACTTGTATATCCTCTGGAAGTTCTTCAATATATTCAGGCTTTTCTTCCAAAGCAATTTCTTTGGTTTCAACAGTAGTAACAGGTGCTTTACCTTCTTCTTCTACCACTTTAATTTTAGTGACTTCTTCTTTTCCTTTTTTAATTTTTTTAATAACTTTAGTTTTAACCTTGGTTTTTGTGGGTTTACCTTCTTCTGTGAATGTTTCAAACACTTGCACATCCTCCGGAAGTTCTTCAATATATTCAGGCTTTTCTTCCAAAGGAATTTCTTCAGTTTCCACAGTAGTAACAGGTGCTTTACCTTCTTCTTCAACTACTTTAATTTTGGTGACTTCTTCTTTTCCTCTCTTAATTTTCTTAATAACTTTGGTCTTAACTTTAGTCTTAGTAGGTTTACCTTCTTCTGTGAGAGTTTCAAAAACTTGTATATCCTCTGGGAGCTCTTCAATATATTCAGGCTTTTCTTCCAAAGGTATTTCTTCAGTTTCGACAGTTGTAACAGGTGCTTTACCTTCTTCTTCAACTACTTTAATTTTAGTGACTTCTTCTTTTCCTTTCTTAATCTTCTTAACAACTTTTGTTTTGACTTTAATCTTAGTAGGTTTGCCTTCTTCTGTAAAGGTTTCAAACACTTGTACATCTTCTGGTAGCTCCTCAATATATTCTGGCTTTTCTACCAAAGGTATTTCTTCAGTTTCGACAGTTGTAACAGGTGCTTTACCTTCTTCTTCAACTACTTTAATTTTAGAGACTTCTTCTTTTCCTTTCTTAATCTTTTTAACAACTTTTGTTTTGACTTTAATCTTAGTAGGTTTGCCTTCTTCTGTAAAGGTTTCAAACACTTGTACATCTTCTGGTAGCTCCTCAATATATTCTGGCTTTTCTACCAAAGGTATTTCTTCAGTTTCGACAGTTGTAACAGGTGCTTTACCTTCTTCTTCAACTACTTTAATTTTAGTGACTTCTTCTTTTCCTTTCTTAATTTTCTTAACAACTTTTGTTTTGACTTTAATCTTAGTAGGTTTGCCTTCTTCTGTAAAGGTTTCAAACACTTGTACATCTTCTGGTAGCTCCTCAATATATTCTGGCTTTTCTACCAAAGGTATTTCTTTAGTTTCGACAGTTGTAACAGGTGCTTTACCTTCTTCTTCAACTACTTTAATTTTAGTGACTTCTTCTTTTCCTTTCTTAATCTTTTTAACAACTTTGGTTTTGACTTTAATCTTAGTAGGTTTGCCTTCTTCTGTAAAGGTCTCAAACACTTGTACATCTTCTGGTAACTCCTCAATATATTCTGGCTTTTCTACCAACGGAATTTCTTCAGTTTCGACAGTTGTTACAGGTTCTTTACCTTCTTCTTCAACAACTTTAATTTTCGTGACTTCTTCTTTTCCTTTCTTAATTTTTTTAATAACTTTTGTTTTGACTTTGGTTTTTGTGGGTTTTCCTTCTTCTGTGAGTGTTTCAAACACTTGCACATCCTCCGGAAGTTCTTCAATATATTCAGGCTTTTCTTCCAAAGGAACTTCTTCAGTTTCCACAGTAGTAACAGGTGCTTTACCTTCTTCTTCAACTACTTTAATTTTAGTGACTTCTTCTTTTCCTTTCTTAATCTTCTTAACAACTTTTGTTTTGACTTTAATCTTAGTAGGTTTGCCTTCTTCTGTAAAGGTCTCAAACACTTGTACATCTTCTGGTAACTCCTCAATATATTCTGGCTTTTCTACCAATGGAATTTCTTCAGTTTCAACGGTTGTAACAGGTGCCTTACCTTCTTCTTCAACTACTTTAATTTTAGTGACCTCTTCTTTTCCTTTCTTAATTTTCTTAATAACTTTTGTTTTGACTTTAGTCTTCGTTGGTTTACCTTCTTCTGTGAAGCTTTCAAACACTTGTACATCCTCTGGAAACTCTTCAATATATTCAGGCTTTTCTTCCAAAGGAATTTCTTCAGTTTCGACAGTTGTAACTGGAGCTTTGCCTTCTTCTTCGACCACCTGAATTTTCGTCACTTCTTCTTTTCCTTTCTTCAACTTTTTGATTACACGAGTTTTCACCTTTGTTTTCTTTGGTTTGCCATCTTCTGTTACTGTTTCGATTATTTGTACGTCTTCCGGTAGTTCTTCGATTAATTCTGGCTTTTCTTCTAATGGAACTTCTTCGGTTTTTACTGTTGTCACTGGAGCTTTTCCTTCTTCTTCAACTACTTGAATCTTTGTTATTTCTTCTTTTCCTTTCTTTATTTTTTTGATAACACGAGTCTTTACTTTTGTTTTCTTTGGTTTGCCGTCTTCTGTTATTGTTTCGATTATTTGTACGTCTTCCGGTAGTTCCTCGATTAATTCTGGCTTTTCTTCTACGGGAACTACTTCAGTTTCTACTGTTGTCACTGGAGCTTTTCCTTCTTCTTCGACTACTTGAATTTTCGTCACTTCTTCTTTTCCTTTCTTTACTTTTTTGATAACACGAGTCTTCACCTTTGTTTTCTTTGGTTTGCCGTCTTCTGTTATTGTTTCGATTATTTGTACGTCTTCCGGTAGCTCCTCGATTAATTCTGGCTTTTCTTCTACGGGAACTACTTCAGTTTCTACTGTTGTCACTGGAGCTTTTCCTTCTTCTTCGACTACTTGAATTTTCGTCACTTCTTCTTTTCCTTTCTTTACTTTTTTGATAACACGAGTCTTCACCTTTGTTTTCTTTGGTTTGCCATCTTCTGTTATTGTTTCGATTATTTGTACGTCTTCCGGTAGTTCCTCGATTAATTCTGGCTTTTCTTCTAATGGAACTTCTTCGGTTTTTACTGTTGTCACTGGAGCTTTTCCTTCTTCTTCAACTACTTGAATCTTTGTTATTTCTTCTTTTCCTTTCTTTATTTTTTTGATAACACGAGTCTTTACTTTTGTTTTCTTTGGTTTGCCGTCTTCTGTTATTGTTTCGATTATTTGTACGTCTTCCGGTAGTTCCTCGATTAATTCTGGCTTTTCTTCTACGGGAACTACTTCAGTTTCTACTGTTGTCACTGGAGCTTTTCCTTCTTCTTCGACTACTTGAATTTTCGTCACTTCTTCTTTTCCTTTCTTTACTTTTTTGATAACACGAGTCTTCACCTTTGTTTTCTTTGGTTTGCCGTCTTCTGTTATTGTTTCGATTATTTGTACGTCTTCCGGTAGCTCCTCGATTAATTCTGGCTTTTCTTCTACGGGAACTACTTCAGTTTCTATTGTTGTCACTGGAGCTTTTCCTTCTTCTTCGACTACTTGAATTTTCGTCACTTCTTCTTTTCCTTTCTTTACTTTTTTGATAACACGAGTCTTCACCTTTGTTTTCTTTGGTTTGCCATCTTCTGTTATTGTTTCGATTATTTGTATGTCTTCCGGTAGTTCCTCGATTAATTCTGGCTTTTCTTCTAATGGAACTTCTTCGGTTTTTACTGTTGTCACTGGAGCTTTTCCTTCTTCTTCAACTACTTGAATCTTTGTTATTTCTTCTTTTCCTTTCTTTATTTTTTTGATAACACGAGTCTTTACTTTTGTTTTCTTTGGTTTGCCGTCTTCTGTTATTGTTTCGATTATTTGTACGTCTTCCGGTAGCTCCTCGATTAATTCTGGCTTTTCTTCTACGGGAACTACTTCAGTTTCTACTGTTGTCACTGGAGCTTTTCCTTCTTCTTCGACTACTTGAATTTTCGTCACTTCTTCTTTTCCTTTCTTTACTTTTTTGATAACACGAGTCTTCACCTTTGTTTTCTTTGGTTTGCCATCTTCTGTTATTGTTTCGATTATTTGTACGTCTTCCGGTAGCTCCTCGATTAATTCTGGCTTTTCTTCTATTGGAACTTCTTTGGTTTCTACCGTGGTAACTGGAGCTTTTCCTTCCTCCTCCACTACTTGAATCTTTGTTACTTCTTCTTTTCCTTTCTTCAACTTTTTGATTACACGAGTTTTCACCTTTGTTTTCTTTGGTTTGCCATCTTCTGTTATTGTTTCGATTATTTGTACGTCTTCCGGTAGTTCCTCGATTAATTCTGGCTTTTCTCCTAATGGAACTTCTTCGGTTTTTACTGTTGTCACTGGAGCTTTTCCTTCTTCTTCAACTACTTGAATCTTTGTTATTTCTTCTTTTCCTTTCTTTATTTTTTTGATAACACGAGTCTTTACTTTTGTTTTTTTTGGTTTGCCGTCTTCTGTTATTGTTTCGATTATTTGTACGTCTTCCGGTAGCTCCTCGATCAATTCTGGCTTTTCTTCTACGGGAACTACTTCAGTTTCTACTGTTGTCACTGGAGCTTTTCCTTCTTCTTCGACTACTTGAATTTTCGTCACTTCTTCTTTTCCTTTCTTTACTTTTTTGATAACACGAGTCTTCACCTTTGTTTTCTTTGGTTTGCCATCTTCTGTTATTGTTTCGATTATTTGTACGTCTTCCGGTAGTTCCTCGATTAATTCTGGCTTTTCTTCTATTGGAACTTCTTTGGTTTCTACCGTGGTAACTGGAGCTTTTCCTTCCTCCTCCACTACTTGAATTTTTGTTACTTCTTCTTTTCCTTTCTTCAACTTTTTGATTACACGAGTTTTCACCTTTGTTTTCTTTGGTTTGCCATCTTCTGTAATTGTTTCGATTATTTGTACGTCCTCTGGTAGTTCCTCGATCAATTCTGGCTTTTCTTCTACGGGAACTACTTCAGTTTCTACTGTTGTCACTGGAGCTTTTCCTTCTTCTTCGACCACCTGAATCTTCGTCACTTCTTCTTTTCCTTTCTTTACTTTTTTAATTACACGCGTCTTGACTTTTGTTTTCTTTGGTTTGCCGTCTTCTGTTATTGTTTCGATTATTTGTACGTCCTCCGGTAGTTCCTCGATCAATTCTGGCTTTTCTTCTACGGGAACTACTTCAGTTTCTACTGTTGTCACTGGAGCTTTTCCTTCTTCTTCGACCACTTGAATCTTAGTCACTTCTTCTTTTCCTTTCTTTACTTTTTTAATTACACGCGTCTTGACTTTTGTTTTCTTTGGTTTGCCGTCTTGTGTTATTGTTTCGATTATTTGTACGTCCTCCGGTAGTTCCTCGATCAATTCTGGCTTTTCTTCTACGGGAACTACTTCAGTTTCTACTGTTGTCACTGGAGCTTTTCCTTCTTCTTCGACCACCTGAATCTTAGTCACTTCTTCTTTTCCTTTCTTTACTTTTTTAATTACACGAGTCTTGACTTTTGTTTTCTTTGGTTTGCCGTCTTCTGTTATTGTTTCGATTATTTGAACGTCCTCCGGTAGTTCCTCGATCAATTCTGGCTTTTCTTCTACGGGAACTACTTCAGTTTCTACAGTTGTCACTGGAGGTTTTCCTTCTTCTTCGACCACCTGAATCTTCGTCACTTCTTCTTTACCTTTCTTTACTTTTTTAATTACACGAGTCTTGACTTTTGTTTTCTTTGGTTTGCCGTCTTCTGTTATTGTTTCGATTATTTGTACGTCCTCCGGTAGTTCTTCAATCAGTTCTGGCTTTTCTTCTACGGGAACTACTTCAGTTTCTACTGTTGTCACTGGAGCTTTTCCTTCTTCTTCAACCACTTGAATCTTCGTTACTTCTTCTTTTCCTTTCTTTACTTTTTTAATTACACGAGTCTTGACTTTTGTTTTCTTTGGTTTTCCGTCTTCTGTTATTGTTTCGATTATTTGTACGTCCTCTGGTAGTTCCTCGATTAATTCTGGCTTTTCTTCTACGGGAACTACTTCAGTTTCTACTGTTGTCACTGGAGCTTTTCCTTCTTCTTCGACCACCTGAATCTTCGTCACTTCTTCTTTTCCTTTCTTTACTTTTTTAATTACACGAGTCTTGACTTTTGTTTTCTTTAGTTTGCCGTCTTCTGTTATTGTTTCGATTATTTGTACGTCCTCTGGTAGTTCCTCGATCAATTCTGGCTTTTCTTCTACGGGAACTACTTGAGTTTCTACAGTTGTCACTGGAGGTTTTCCTTCTTCTTCGACCACCTGAATCTTCGTCACTTCTTCTTTACCTTTCTTTACTTTTTTAATTACACGAGTCTTGACTTTTGTTTTCTTTGGTTTGCCGTCTTCTGTTATTGTTTCGATTATTTGTACGTCCTCCGGTAGTTCTTCGATCAATTCTGGCTTCTCTTCTACGGGAACTACTTGAGTTTCTACTGTTGTCACTGGAGCTTTTCCTTCTTCTTCGACAACCTGAATCTTAGTCACTTCTTCTTTTCCTTTCTTTACTTTTTTAATTACACGAGTCTTGACTTTTGTTTTCTTTGGTTTGCCATCTTCTGTTATTGTTTCGATAATTTTTACGTCCTCCGGTAGTTCCTCTATTGATTCTGGCTTTTCTTCTAATGGAACTTCTTCGATTTCTACCGTTGTAATTGGAGCTTTTCCGTCTTCTTCAACTACTTTAATTTTAGTCACTTCTTCTTTATCTTTCTTCATTTTTTTTATAACACGAGTCTTGACTTTAGTTGTTTTGAGCTTCCCGTCATCCGTTTGCGTTTCTATTACTTGTATATCTTCCGGAAGTTCTTCGATTAATTCTGGCTTTTCTTCTAAAGGAACTTCCTCTGTTTCTACTGTGGTAATAGGAGTTTTGCCTTCTTCTTCTACAACTTGTATTTTCATAACTTCCTGCTTATCTTTCTTTATTTTTTTAATGACGCGAGTTTTTATTTTTGTTTTCTTCAATTTTCCATCATCTGTTACTTTTTCTATTATTTGAATGTGTTCAGGAAGTTCTTCTATATATGATTCCTGTTCGTCATGTGGTATATCCCTGTCGGTTTTGCGTGGTAGCTTTTGTTTATCATGTTTGCTCTTTGTTTGTGTTGTTTCTGTGTGTGATATGTGTGGTTTCTGTGTCGGTGAAGATGCATCTGTTTGGAGTGAAATCATGTTAGTTTTAAGTGTGTTTCGTTTAATGTAACATTATTCTCTGTCATATTTGTGTGTAAATTTTTTTATAGTTTTAAGAAAAAATCAAAGAAAAGGTAAGTTCCATTTATTCAGCCTAATTTTTTCAATTTTTAAAATAAAAAAGTATGTACTTATGTATGAATATATATATATATATATATATATATATATACGCATGTATATGAAACAATAATTTTATTGGACCAATGATATATATGTATGTTATGAAAATTACGAAAAGTGTTTGGTAATTCGGTCTTGTAACCTTCATGTTTGTATAACATTCCTTTGAGTATACCAGATAATAGCACATAATGTACCAGCATTTGTATTTATGATTACAACATAGGTTGTACGATAATATTTTAAAATTGAACAGATATCTTATAAATCTACAATTTTACATTAAGTACAAAATAATTTTTTTTTGATATACATATTTAAGAAAATGATGGCAAATCTGAAAAGTTTCACCAATATATATCTTTAAAGTCTTATATCAATTGTACATCAAAATTTCATTTCCATTTCATAAATATAGTATAAATGTCGTTATTACAGTTTTCTGAAAAATCATTATGTAGTTTATTAATATTTACGTACCAATTTTCACGCTACATTTCAATTTTTACGCCAGATATTGCTGATTTAGTAAAAGCATTGTTTTGGCAAAGCATTTGCAAAAGTATATATATAAAACATTATCAATTTAAACTACCAGACTATTAAAAAGAAAAAACAAAACTAACACATCATGTTTGTTTTCCACTGTTCGACTGCATCTAAATCATTATGTTTTAATAAAACGTGCAAGAAAAGCATTGCAATATCTTTCGGGGAAAACATACCAATATTTACTTATAAACGTTCTAAAAGATAAAGTTAACGATTTAAATATTAAATACATACTATAAATATAATTTTATACTTAAATTTAAGGTAAATTTAGACTAATTTTATTCTAAGTGAGATTATTTCCACTTTTTAACTAGCAAGGTTAATTTTTAAAACATTAATTTGAGTTAAAAGTAACATATATGGATTATAAATTTATTTATTTATTACGTATTACTGTCTGTGGTTTAAAATCTTTCATGTAACCGAAACAACTTCAGTTAGAATAAAATTAAAGTGAAATTACATTTTGTTTTCAATTTCACTAGAATGTACAAAGTAATTTTTTTTTAATGATTGATTTAATATTTAATAATTATAAAGGATGTTAGGATATTCAATTTAAATTAAAAACATCCCCAATATCTAATTTTCGCTTAATACGTTTATGTATGTATATATTTCAATAATAAAAGCACATATACACATTCTTGCAATACTATAAAAATATTGCGATTATTTTTAAATAAATTAAAAAAAATACTTAAATTTCTTACTTATTTCGAATAAAATTAAAGGGAATACATTATAAATTTGTTTAGAATATTACTTTCAATATTTATAATATGAAAATAAAACCAAGTGTGGTATTCCTAATGTATACCATAATCTAAGAAAATACCAATATCTCATCTACAATAAAAAACTGTAAATACCCAAAAGACATCAGGTACTTATCTTAATTAGCATACGTTTAAGATAACGTAATTTTTTTAAATACAAAATAGATAATTATTTATTTTATGTTAATAACTATAGTTATTGTTTTTCTAATAACAAAGAAAAATATTAAAAGCAAATAAACATTCTTATTTTTAAATTAACAACACATTTAGTTTAAATCATAACCCATTAGAGAAAACGTTTGGTCATCTTAATAACTATACTAAAAAATGTAAAATAAAAAAAAAGATTCTACATAATACTAAAATTAATACATAAGCTAATAAAATAATATCAAATATAAAACTATATTAATGCAAACAATACTAAATTTAATATTTTTAATAAAAAATAAGAAGCAAGTAAAGTGTCATAATAAACGCATGACTACAAAGTGTAAAATAGTAAGTTTTTGTATGTTTTTGTTTTTCTCTTACCTCTCAAACTATCCCATCTCATTTAGCATTGTACTTCAGTAATTAGTTAAAATAGCTTTTACAAATTATTACACTAAATACAAAATTCAAAAAAAATTTTTTGCTTTTTTTTTCAATTTTGTTAATAATTTATTATTCTCAAATTAATTATGTTAATTTCATAATATATGTGCATATATACAATAATACATATTTAAATAAAATATAATATAAAATAAAAATGTATGCATCTATTTATAATTTTAATTCAAAAGCTTATATGAAAACAGAAAACTGTAGCGAGAAGCAACATTTAAAAAAAAAAAAAACATTTCTTTCTCAAAATGATAAAAATCCCAAAATAAATAGGACGGATATTATTTAGGCAAAATGTCTACACCTTCTGTCAAAATTAGTGTTCTTTCTTCTTCAAAAGTTTCCTCTAAAAAATCATAAATATAATTGTAGTATAGATTGTTTTAAAATTAAACAAAAATAGTTTTAAAGCAATTTATATTATATGTTGACATACATGTATAGTATATTTTACATAATATAAATATTTTTTATTATACTCACCAATTCTGATATGTGCAATTGCTTCAGTTTTTCCAGCAACAAATGAAGTTTCTGTTGTTCTCTATACATAGTTAAATATTTTTATGTACATATATAAGATAAAAAAATTTTAATGAATTAAAAAAAAAAAATAAAAAAAAAAATAAAATAATCAAAAATGTTCTGAGATGAAGGTCAAATTGATGTCCATAAAGATATATAATGCATTAAAATAAAAATTTTCTCATAAAAACCGACAAACCTCTTTAGATGATATTTTCCAATCATGAATTAAGAAATCTTCTTTAACAAATTTTGTCATCAATTCTTCTATTGTTACATTACAGGATTCAATTAAACGTGTAAAAGCTTTAAAGCCAACTGTTGATGCAAGAACTGTTTCATCAACATTATTTTCTTCACTTAGAATCTGTGTTATTAATTTTTCTTGTCCTTCACGTTCAACTAATTGCACTAATGCTGATTGTGATTCTGGTTTTCTTAAAGCTTGAAATATATTTTGCTCATACATGTAAATTATTTGATTTAATTCTAAACCATAGTGCAGTAAAAGATTAATTGATGCTAAATCTCTTAATGGTGCTTCACCAACTTTTAATATTTCAATTTGAATTGTATTTAGCATTTCGTTTATTTCTTCAAGATATAATATTTTTGAAATGTCTGCTTGTGTTATAGATTTATATTGAACTTTTTCTTTAATTGATTGTACCATTTCACTTATCTCTACAGTTGTTGTTGTTGCACTTGATCTAGATGTAGTTTTTTCCTCTATTATTGATTTTTTAGATGATTCTTCTATAATTAATTCACTTTTTACAGTCGTTGATTCCTTTTTAGTTTCTTTTTTTGTTTCATTTACAACTATTGATTCATTTGATTCTGTATCATCATAATCGATTTTATCTTCAAAAGATTCAGCAGTTATAACTCTTTCTTCTTGTGCACCTGATTTAATTGTTAATTTCGGTGTTTTTAATACTCTTTTAATAATTTTTTTCTTTGTTTTATTTTTTTTTCCAGATTTTTCATCAATTTTAGTTACAGTTTTTTTAGTGGCTGCTGATGATTCATCTAATTTAGAACGGCTTAAATTCATACCAATTTCGTTAACTATTTTACACACATAAATGCCATAATCTTCTCGAACAATATCCATTATTTCTAATGAAGTTGTATTGTCTTCTGTTACAATTTTATAATGGTCGGAGTCATGAAGTAGAGTACCCTCGTGATACCACTCGACATCTACATATATACATATACATTTATATATAATACATATATTGTATTTTTTGTTTTAAAATTTTTAATAAAATTTTCTTTAATATTACTAAAAAAAAAGTAGGTTATTTTATCTACAACTAGTTTTTATGAACTTTTATCAAAAAACAAAATATCAAAATTTTTTTTAACGTTTTTAATAAAGATAAAATAATCTTTAAATAAATAACAAAAATAGTTCTATTTAAAAAAAAAAATTTTTTTATTCTAGCAATACCTGGTACTGGATTTCCTGAAAATTGACAATGGAAACTAGCATTTTCGCCAATAGCACCTCTAGCAGCTACTATTTCTGTGATAAATGATGGCGAACATTTCGCAGCTGAAAAGCGGCATCAACATATTTTATGAATGTTTGTATTAAAAAGCATTAAAAAGCGTTAATTTGAATTTAAGAGTTTTATTTTTCACATTATTGACATAATTACATATAGCTAGCTAGCTATACTAGTTAAAAACAATGAATTGTCATAATTATAATTTTGATGTACATGTATACATTGTATGCACTTGTATAACAAAATTTTAAATTTTTAATATATTACGTATTAATAGTAGAAAATAAAAATTATAAAATCTATTAGACTAGAGGAGTTAGCAAATTAACATTTCATCCCAATATATTTGAATAATATGTTGGGCTGCAATGTAATATTTATACAAAAATATTAATCTAGTGAATATATTCAAAAATATTCATATTTATTTTGAATTTCTTAAAGCTAATTTCTAACTTCATTATTCAACTAATATTATAAATTTTATATTTTTATAATATGAATCAGTATAATATTGACTTTAAACTGATTGCATTCATAATTTGCCAATTGCTTTATTAATTTATAAAAGAATTAAATGTAAAAAATTAGTTATTCATAAAATGTTATGCTTTAATTATAATGCGTCAAATACTGTAACATAGTGTTATTTGTATTAGTATAAGTATAAAAATTTTAAATGCTTACCAATATTGATATCATAATTTTTGTGCATTATTTTTGTGTGTTGTTTTATTTTTTTTTATTTTTGTATAAAATGTTTTAAATATTGCAATAGTTCCTCTTATTATAATTAAAAAGACAAAAATTTCTTTGTAAATTCCCTAATATGATAGTTTAATACCACATGTAAAACAGAATCACTAAATTATTAATATTGTAAATCATCGTTTTGTGTTCTAGTGTCGGATTTTAATCTTCTAGAAATCGTAAGGTAATAGAATTTTTAGAATCAATGTTAAAATATATGTATAATGCCTGAAGGACTAAAACGGTGCTTTCTACACCGTTAAATAAAACAAATTTTAAAGAAAGCTTGCATTCATAATTTGTGAAAAAAAAAAATAGAATATGTTATGGAAAATAATAATTATAAACTTCATGGAAAACCTAACGTTTTACTGCTGTATTCCTAAAAAAAATAAAATATTAAAAGAGATAGAAAGAAAATTTCATGTTCTTTTGGTTTCCATTCTTTTGGTCACTTTTTGACTTTTTAGAAGAGAAATTAGTAATTCAACTAAGAATCTATTTAATATAAAAATATATTAAATAAAATATGTAATTTCATTATTAAAAATGTACAAATTTATTTTTTTTTCGCTTATTTTGCAAAGAAATCGATTTTTTAGCCTTCTATTCGATTTTATTATTTTATTAGGTTTTCCTCATCTAATTAAAATTTTATAACTGTAATAGTCCTCGACATTGAAGCTTTTTGCAGTTCTGGTTCCCAAACCTGCAGTTAGTTAAGAATGCAGGAAAGTTAGGTAGTACTGATTTTTTTCGTATATAAAAAAAACATAATCTGATCTAAAATGATAAAACCGAAAACAAATAAAATAAGTCGTACATTCTGAAGGTGCGAAATCCAAGAAGAAATTCTTAATATTTTCATTTTTTCTTTCAGTACTTTTTATGGAGAATAGACTCAAGGACCCAAGACAGCAGAAATAAAACATAATTAAAAACATTTTTAAAAAAAAAATTTGTTTTGTTATATATATGGACCGTAAACTATCGGCAACAAGATTTAATTATTTTGAAAAACATATAAAATACATAATTTCCCTTCATACTTTCGGATATGTATTTATTAGCTCGAACGGCAAACAATATAATTCATTTGTTTTTCTTGGAAGCATTATAAAAAATTTATAACCGTATTTGTGTAGTAGTTTGAATGAAAACATAATATGAACAAGAAATAAAATTTATATTAGTCCAATAACGTTAACGAAAACCGACGTTTTCCCATTATTATAATTAAATTTAAACTGTTACAACTTACCTTTAAGGGCTTCTTGCATTTGTTCCATATGAATAACCCATTCAGGTTTCCTATAGTCTTTAGTTCCGACAATTTCTTAAAAATAGTAAAATAATTTTCAATTCAAATAAATTGCTTTATACTCAAAGCTTATCAAAATATGTAAATAAATATAATATACACATAAACTATTATATAAATATAATTTCTAAAAAATTATATACAATAGAAAACGTAAATAATTCGTGTATAAAATGTTTAAACTTGTATGTGTATAGTAAAAAACTTATGAAATGGAATGTAAGTTTATGATGCACAACAGAACATTTTTCTCGGTCTTTCTTTAAGCTGAAAAATAGAACTTAATCGAACTTTTAATTATTTTTTGCTTTATAAAAATTAATTAATATAATTAATTTTAAAAATACTGAAATAAGCAGTCATTTAATTTAATTCTAAATATAATAAGTAGTTATAAAAATAATAATTTAATTTATATGCACAAGTACATTTTATGGACTTTTTATTTCCGCATATATAATATTTTTATACACGTACGTGTAATACACATAATGTATATACTTGTACATATAAATGTAAATTAGTTTGTACTAAGATACCTTCATCAGTTGCAATAATTTCAGTAGTTGATTTAACAACTCCTAATGGATTAAATGCTTCAAATGTAATTACACTATTAATATAATTTCTAATATCGCTTATAATTAATGTTGAAACGCCTGTTTTAGTTATATATTTAGTACACTCTTGACGCTCTAAGATTTCTTCGTTATTATGGAACCATTTAACAATTGGTGTTGGTTTTCCCACCACTTGTACTTCGAGTTTCGTTGGTTCATTATGTCGTACGACAGTTTTCTTTGGTAATTTTTTGACTAATTTTGGACGTTCTTCGTCTAATGACAGTGTCTATTGTTCAAAAAATTAATTATAATTATGAGTAAATATTTCTTAATATTTTATTAAATAAATTGAAAATTACTTTGTCTAGAAGATCCTCCTCTGATACAGTCATACCAGTCATTTCAGAATCGGGGATATATTCAAATGCTAGAAATGAAGATATTTATGAGAAAATTTCTTGTTTTCTGTATATGTAAAAATAAAAAATGAGTTAATTCACCTTGAATGTTAACTGTTGCTTTAGTTTCGGCTTTGCCAATTTTGTTTTGGGCGATACAAACGTATTCACCTGCATCTTCTGGAAATACTTCAGTTATTGTTAATACACAATAGCCGTCATCATCTTGAGAAATTGTGGTTTCTTTTGTCTCTTTAACTGGTTCGCCATCATGATACCATGCAACTTTGGGAGTTGGCATACCAGTTACTTTACATGTTAATTGCATTAATTCTCCATCCATAGCGTGAATTGGTTCTAATGTTTTGCTGAATCGTGGTGATATATATTCGGCGACCTCTTCCATGACAGTTTCTTCAAGTACATTAACTGTAGCTGTCGACATTACAGAACCGCAAACATTTTCAGCGCGACATGTATATAATCCAGCTTGTTGTGGTTGAAAAGATTGTATTATTAAAATTGATTTATTTTCTTTTGATATTATCTTTGTTTCTGGTGTATGACGAACTGCTTCATTTTCAAAGAACCATTGGAATGAAGCTGGAGGCTGTGCATCTACAATTGCTTCAATCAATGCAACTTCATTTTCAGCAACAAACTTTGGTTGTAAGGGTTTAACAAATCTTGGTGGCATTATTCCTTCTTCGCCTGTTTGTGGTAAGTCAGATATGACAACTGTTGCAGCAGATTTTGCTTCGCCAACATCATTTTTAACGCAAATTTCATATTTACCAGCTCTTTTACGAGTCATATTTTCAACGGTCAAAGTACTTACACCATCTTTGTTGACAACTTTTATGTCTTGATTTTCGATAATTGGTTTTCCATTCCTTGTCCATATAACAGTAGGAACAGGGAAACCCTTATAATGAGACTGATAAACTAATGTAGATCCCGTACGTACCTTTTGTGCTTCTATTGAAGACACAGTTGGAGCAACAAAAACTTCCTTCTTTTCTAATTTTTTGTCAATACATTTCAAAATGTTTGCGTTACCAATGGCTCTACCGTACTTATTTTCTACTTGAATTGAATAAACTAAAGCTTCATTCGGTGTTGGATTATATAGTTCTAAAACAACTTCACCACTTTCTTCGTCATATACTATATTTAAGGATTCAGATGGACGAACTTCCTCTGTTCCTTTGTACCATACAACTTTTGGTTTTGGCAATCCATTCACTTTACATGTTACTGTAGCTTTGTTTTCCTCCTCACTAAATTCTATCTTTAAAGGCCGCACGAATAAGGGTGCCATACCTTGCTCTTTTTCTAAAAAAAAAACCCAGAAGTTATAATTTGCTTGTATTTTTAAATTTTTTTTTTAATATTACCTAGAAGGACGGTTGATCTTGTATGAGCCACCCCAGCTTGGTTTCTGGCTTCGCAAGTATACACTCCTATATCTTGCTCATTTACATCCATTATTTCTAGTGTTACCGTACTTTCAGTTAAGTTGATAACATGCTTCTCTGATGATTGTAATTCTGTTTCATTCAAATACCATTTAACGATTGGATGTGGTTGACCTTCAAAGGATGTCTCTAACACAATTGTTGCACCAGGCAAGCATTTTCGTGCTTCCAATTTTTTAATAAACTTAGGTGGAATAAGATTTGCCTTCTTCTTCTTAGGAGCTTTCTTCGTTTCTGATTTTTTGGTCTCAGTAACAAATGTTTCTTCTTCCATAACTTCTTGTTCCAATACTTGAATTTCTTCTTCTGGGACTGCCTCCTCGGGCTGTTCTTTAACACGTTTCTGCGTAATTAACTCTAACTCGCGGAGTGGTTGACTGTCGTCTATTAGCAAAGTACGTTTCTCTTTTTTAACAATATTTGAAGTTACTTTCATAGTCATGTCCTTTTTAAATTCTTCTGTTGTTATTTCTGGTTCTTGCGGTTTTTTCAAAGGCTTTTCCTTCTTCTTCAAACTAATGGTTTTTTGTGAAATTTCTTTTGTTGGTTCCTCCATTGGTTGCTGTTCTGGAATAAATTCCCCTTCGACAGCTTCATACACTTCTTCTGGCACCTCTTGTTCTGGTTGTTCTAGTTCAGTTTGTTTGATTTGTTTAGGTTTCTTCTTAATCTTCTTCTTCTCTTTCAAAACTTCTTCTGTTATCACGTCGACTTCAATATCTCTTTCAACTTCTTCAACCACTTCAGGTTCGCTTGAAACCTGCTCTTCTGGTTGAACTGTGTCTGCGGTACTTTTCGGTTTAACCTTTTTAGGTTTCTTAGGAGCTTTTTCTTGAGTCGGAACTATTTCTTCTTGTGGTGTTTCATCCACTTGTTGTTCTTCTTCAGGAGCTTGTTGCTGCCTTGGCACACCTTTCAATTTGTGAGTGAGGAATTCAGGTACTTCTTCCGCCTTCTCACGTTTAACCTTATCAGGCTTCTTTTTCGGAGTTTTCGGTTTTTCCTTATCTACTACTTCTTTTTCTTCAATTTGTGGCTCTGCTTCTTCAATTTCTGCAGCAATATCTTCTATATTCTCAGGTTTCTTAGCAACTGGTTTTTTCTTTCCTCTTTGCCATAGTTTTGGTTGCTCCTGTGGTTGGGACACTTCAGGTGTTTCTTCTTCTGTTGGAGGTATAATACTAGAGTCCTCAACCTGTTGAGGTACTTTCGGTTTGGGTTTCTTACCTCTTTGCCACATTTTAGGTTGTTCTTGTGGTTGGAGTGCTTCAGGTATTTCTTCTTCAGTTGGTGCTATAAAACTAGAATCCTCAACATGCTCAGGTGATTGAGGCTTCGGTTTCTTTCCCCTTTGCCACATTTTAGGTTGTTCTTGTGGTTGGGACTCTTCAGGTACTTCTTCTTCTGTTGGAGCTATAAAACTGGAGTCCTCAACATGTTTGGGCACCTGTGGTTTGGGTTTCTTACCTCTTTGCCACATTTTAGGTTGTTCTTGTGGTTGGAGTGCTTCAGGTATTTCTTCTTCAGTTGGAGCTATAAAACTGGAATCCTCTACATGCTGGGGCACTTGAGGCTTCGGTTTCTTTCCTCTTTGCCACATTTTAGGTTGTTCTTGTGGTTGCGGAACCTCAGGCACTTCTTCTTCAGTTGGAGCTATGAAACTGGAATCCTCAACATGCTGGGGTACTTGAGGCTTCGGTTTCTTTCCTCTTTGCCACATTTTAGGTTGTTCTTGTGGTTGCGGAATCTCAGGTACTGCGTCTTCTGTTAGAGCAATGAAACTGGAATCCTCAATATGCTGCGGTACTTGAGGTTTCGGTTTCTTTCCTCTTTGCCACATTTTAGGCTGTTCTTGTGGTTGGGCCGTTTCAGGTACTTCTTCTTCTGTTGGGGCTATAAAACTGGAGTCCTCAACACGTTGAGGTACTTGGGGTTTGGGTTTCTTTCCCCTTTGCCACATTTTAGGTTGTTCTTGTGGTTGGGGCGCTTCAGATACTTCTTCCTCAGTTGGAGCTATAAAACTGGAATCCTCAATATGTTGGGGCACTTGAGGCTTCGGTTTCTTTCCTCTTTGCCACATTTTAGGTTGTTCTTGTGGTTGCGGAACCTCAGGCACTTCTTCTTCTGTTGGAGCTATGAAACTGGAATCCTCAACATGCTGCGGTACTTGAGGTTTCGGTTTCTTTCCTCTTTGCCACATTTTAGGCTGCTCTTGTGGTTGCGAAACCTCAGGCGCTTCTTCTTCTGTTGGGGCTATAAAACTGGAGTCCTCAACATGTTGAGGTACTTGTGGTTTGGGTTTCTTTCCCCTTTGCCACATTTTAGGCTCTTCTTGTGGCTGTTGAGGCAAAAGCTGATCTTCACTTGGACCAATGTAAGCGCTATCTTCTATGTATTGGGGTTCTTCTTCTCTTGGACCAATAAATTCAGAGTCTTCAATATGTTGTTTAACTTGTTTTTGTTTCAACAATGCTCTTTGTTGAATAATTTGTTGACGCGCTCTTTCTTCCGTCATTTTTGTATCTTCTATTGTGTGGTAAATCAAATTGGCGGAACTTGTTTGTTGTCCCTGGATTAGTTCTTCCTGTTGCATTTTTTTTCTCAAAAATTCAGGAACTTGCTTGTCATCGAGTTTTGGCTTTGGCTTACCTCTGTCCCACATTTGGGGTTGTTCCTCAGGTCGCTGTGGTTTGTGAATGATATTCTCATCTATTTGCAATAAAGTTGTTTCTTCTCTATACTGCATTTCAGGGGGCTTTCCAACAGCTGGTTTTAATCCTCGTGACCATGCAACCGCTTGTTCTAAACGTTGCTTTGTTTCCAATTGCTCATCTTGTAAGGTTACGTAAGCGCTATCCTCCAAATTTTGAAGTTGCTGAACAGCTTCTTGAGGATGCCTACCTCTTTCCCATAACAGAGCTTCTTGTTGTTTTAAAATTCTTTGGATTTCTAAAGTTTCTCTTTCTTCTGCACTTAATATTGAAATATCTTCAATATTTGACATTAATTGTTTGTAAAGTTCTGGTTGCTGTTGTAAAATATTATTATAAATCTCTTGGTCAACAACCCTTTTATCTTTTAATACTTTTCCAGTTTCAGTTGTTATTTCTTGAACTGTTTGTTGCTGTTTAAGTGTATCGTACATTGTTTGTATAGAAGTTGCCTTCAATTCAACTTCTTCAACATTGAAATGATCTATTTGTTTCTGAGTTCTTTGTACTGCTTTTAAATGCTTTCTCATTTCTACCCATGGAATTTCGCTTACTTTTGTTTTTTGTTGTTGCATTAGGTGATCAATTTGGCTAGTAATTTCCATAATTGCAACATTTTCAACATGTTTCAATTGTTCAAATTCTCTAGCTCTTGATTCTTCTAAAATTTCCTCTTCATCTAAATGTTCACCATAAATTGTTTGTTTATGTAATTCAACTTCATCTAATTGTAAAGATTCAATCTTTTTAGAAACATTAGCCACTTGTTTAAGCTTTTCTTTCATAACTTTCCATGGTATAGCTTCAGATTCAGTTTTACCTTGAATAATTTTATCTAATTCAGCCCCAAGACCAAGTAAACCTTTTTGTCTTTCTAATTTTATTGATTTTAAACAAACTTTAGCTAATTCATATTTTGGAATTTCTTTCTTTTCAATTTGTGCTGGTTTCAATTTAATTGGTTCTTCAGTCCATGATTTAACTGGTGTAGGTTTTGTACCTGGTAAGAAAGGTTGTTTACCCATAGAACGACCTTGTAAAGGCCGACAACTTTTACGCCATGAAACAGGATTATTTTGTGGTGCACTTTTGCTTCGCATTTTTTTCTTTTTACCTTGTGGTCTATCAGTTGATGGTACTTTTAATAATTGAGGACCTTGTGGATATCCTGGCATGCCAGGATATCCTGAAGTTGGATAACCTTCTTGACCATCAGATGATGATTCTTCTTCTAAGGAATCTGTTGGACGTATCTGATATGCAGATGTTCGTCTTTCTGTTAATATATAAATTTAATAAATTTTTTTTAAAACTTCATAAACCAAATACATATAAAGCAACTTAAATTAAATAATAAAATAAATTTGAGTAAATATTGCAATTTTTGTTTTGTTGCTGCTATAATCTATATACATACATATTGTATATAAATTTAGCAAATACTACCACATAAGTACACATATAAGCTATATTAACACACTTACATCATGAATATTTATCAAAGGTTCAACAAGTATTTATTTTTTTTAAAATTGTTAATTTTAAAAACAATAAATAACAACAAAAAATAAAAGCAAATAAATTTTAGTAACAACAACAGAAGACCAACCAAAGCTATAAAAAATAACAATTTTTCAGCTAAGCATTTCTCCTAAATTAACAAAAAAAAAAATAGTGCAAAATTAAAAATAAAAAAAGAAAGGAAAAATTTTTGTACAATTTTTAACTGGAAAAGAAAATATTCCCCATTTGCTCGACGAAAAAAAAAAAAATAAATACAAAAAAATATTCCCTCCAATCATTAAACGCATACATGTAATAAATTTAAAAAAAAATTTGTATGGAAGTAGGTAGTTATACAGGTACATTGAAATATTGTGGTGACTGTGAGCTTATTTCTGCATTTATCAATCTCACAATATATTCACTTCAGTGAAGTAGAACACAGATCCCAGAAAATACCAAAAAAAAAAAAAAAATCGGAACATTAAAATATTAAAGTTCTAAATTAGTCAGAACAATATTGCCAGCCAGCATACGCATTTTACTCACACAAATGCAAAAAAAAAAGATACAGATGTACGTATATGCGTAAAAATTGGCTTTTGTAAATTTTTGCCATAAAAAAAAAAAAAACAAACATGGAAATTAAAACAAAAATGAAAAAAGTTTTAAAAATTTTATTTTAATTCAGATTTTTTTATATATTTATAAAAAAAAGTACAAGCATACATAAAAATAATAAAATACAATTTATGGTTTTTATAATTTTTTTTTTTTATTAGATAAACTGGTTAAATAGTTGCTCTTTTGCTCGACCAACAACACAAAATAAAAAGCTGCTGCAGGTTTGTTTATTTCTTTACCCCGTAAATTTAACTTTTCCTTCCATTTATTAAATTTGTTTGGGTGAAATTATTACAAAAAAATTTATAAAAAAAAAAAAAAACACAATGAGAATTTTTTTTTTTCTTTTATTTCTTCAGCAGGTGGCAAACATCAATTCAGGCAAGTTCGCTCGCTTCTGATGAACTAAAAACTAAAAAAATTTTATTTAACTCAATCAGGAAAAAAAAAAACAACAAAAAAAAAGTTTATATATAACGAAAATTGTTTTCAAAAAAAAAAAAAAAAATTCATAAATTTTCTTTTTTTTTTTTTCCTCCTTTCTTATTATATTTGTTTTTGTTTCATGCTATCTTATTTGAAATTTCTGTTGTTGGGCAATATAAGCAAAGTATATAAAAGAAGTATTTATGCGTTTATGTTATTATTATTAATACATTTTATATATACATATATTTACATATATGTATGTATATACATTTATTTTATATATTTGCCCATATTTAATAAATCTTTGCAAATATATATATGTATATACATAATATATATGTATATATATATATACTATATAAAAATATATTCCGTGCATTATATACTTATTATAAATAAAAAATTTTTCTCACCTGATGAACATTTCAAATACACAACGCCTACAAATATTCTTTATTCATCTTATTTTTTTTTTTTTTTTGTCATTTCTCCTGATTTTGTTTTTCTTTTTATCATTATTAAGTTAAAAATTTGAAATATTAAAACGGTAAATGTGGCGATATAAACAATTTTCCTTTAATATATTTCTGTTAAAATGAATAAAATTGTATTTTTAATTTTTAAGAAAATAATTTATAAAAATTTTATAAATATAATTTAATGAATCATAAAATTTATATATGCCAATTGCATGATGAAACACATTTTCATAGAATGTTCTAGAAATTTCATTGACTCATAATCACAGTACTATTAATATTATTTTATTTATTAATTAAATAAGTACTATGATTAATTTTTTTTTTCTTTTTTTTTTTTTGTTGTATTTATTTTAAATTTTTTATAATATTTTTATCTATTTCCATATTATTATTTAATATTTACATTATAGCATTCATTAAGTGTTGGTGTATGTACGTAATGTACTTAATTTTATGTAATTATTTTCTTTATTTAATTTAATTATAGGTAATTATAAAAATAAAAGGAAAACCTTTAATTTTATTTTTATATTTTGTACAGGTTTTAAAAAGAAAATCTATATATAAATTTAAAATGATTTGAAAAGAAAACAAATTTTTTACTTACATTTTATTTTCAATATTTTTTTTCGCAATTCAAAATTAAAAAAAAAAACTTCAAATTTAAATAAGAAAAAATGTTTTTTTTTTTTTTTGGTATTTATTTTACTTAGATAATCTCAATTATTGTTTATAAATAAAATATTTTTTTTTTCCTAATTTTTTAACTACTATTTATTTCAAATATTCAATAATTTTTGATAACTGCGTATGATTTGAAGAACAACAAAAATTTATTTGTAAATATATAAATTTGTAAAAACAAAAACAAATATAATAACTAAAATTTTATTTTTACACATTTTTACAAAATTATTTATTTCACTTTAAACATATTATTTATTTAACACTATTTATATAAATTCACTCAAAATGTTTTAATAATAGTTACTATTTAAAAAAAAAAAAAAAATTCTCTTTTTTTTTTGTTTTATTTCTTTGAGAACCTTAAAAATTTTATAATTAAAATTTTTAAACTTTGCATTTATAAACGAACGTCACAATCACGACAAGAAAATTGACTCAATTTATACAGCTCTATATCAGAAATTTCCAAATATTTCGAAATATTTTTAATTTCTTTTATTATCCCCCACAGCATATTGTGTAACTTTAATGAATTTTTCAAAAACTTTCCCTATACTACACTTTAAAATACATAATTCCCTTCCAAAAGTTTATATTTAATATATAGACCGTAATAAATGACCAACATAAATATAGGGGAAAATTTTAACTCTTATTACAAACATGTCCCCACATTTAAAGATCAAACAAGGAGATAAAGTGATTTTTTTTTTCCTGTAAAAATAATAGTTATACATAAACAAAATAAAATTATTAAAAGCTCGTGCATTACACATAAAGGAGGACAAAACTTATAATGAGCATATATAATTTTTCTTTTTTAAATTTACCAAAGTATAATTAAAATAATTATGTAAGATGAAATTTTAATTACAGCCAAAAACTCAAAAAAAAAAAAAAAAATACACACTAAATGATGAATATGAATTTTAAATATAAAATTATAAATTCATGAAAATAAATTCAATATGCTCTTATTTTTTTTTTTTTATATTTGCATATTTTTTATGCTATGTAATACATTTTTATGCTATGTAAAAGAAAAGTGTATAATAAAAATATCAAATCAAAATAATTATTAAAATAAAAATATAAAAATATTGTTGTGTGTATTTTATAGTAAAATAAAAATTTTATACTTTGTAATACATATAAAAACCAAAAAAAATTTAAAAAAAAAAAAAATTTATAAATTTATCATTTATAATTTTTGAAAAATTGTTTTTATATAAATAATTGGTGAATTATAAAAACATTACTTAATAAACTTTTAGCAACAACTGATAATCTTAATTTGAATATCATGTTGAAAAGATATTTTATATTATTTAAAACATAAAAACAACCTTGTAAACTGCAAGGTAATATAAATCGCCAAAGAATGATAAATAAATTTTCGAATAATTTATCATTAATAAATCGAAAATTAAATTTTTAATTTATATATAAATTTAATTAAAAAAAAATCACTTTTTTTAAATCATAATTGACTGCTTTCATAATTTTATTAAATATTCGTTTTATTAAATTTAATTCAAAAATTTTTCCAGTTTTTTGAAATAATAACACATATTTAATTTTTTTAGCTTGAGGCAATGAACATTTATATTAAACTTTCAAAAAATAATATTATAAAAAAAAAATCAAATAAAACAATACATTTTGGTAATTCTTTTGTTTTTTTTTTCCTTTTTTTTTATTAAGTTTAAAAAATTAAACCAATCGCATTTTGTTTTTTTTTTCTTCTTAATTTTTTTAAGTGATTTTCAGTTAAATATTAAAATTAAAATATACAATAATTAACAACACAAAATGAAAAAAATAAAATACAACACAACATTAACAGAATTAATTTTTATATATAAAAAAAAAAATAAGATGTATATTAAAAAAACATTTAAAGAAACTCTAAAAAATATTAGAGATAAAATGAAATTACAACAGATAATTCATGCTTTCTCTATATTATTTAATCCTTAATTTTTCAAATATACAAATAAATTAAGGAATAATAATGAATAAAAAATATATTGATGAAAAAAATTTTCAATATTAAAATACAATAAATTTCAAGAATATTGTATTTTATTTAAATAAAAAAAATTTTACATCAAATTTTTTTACAAAACATCTCATATTTTATAAAAATGAGTTGAAGAAAAGCATGAATATAATTGTTTTATATATTAAAAAATGTCAAAGATTATATAAGTTAACAAGTCGCATGAGCATTTATTTTAATAAAAGCGATTCTACTAAACAAAAATAAAATTATATAAAAAAAAAAAACAAAACACCAAAATTTTTTTTAACTAGTTTTTTTTTCTTCTAAATTTACTCTACTCTCAAAAAAAAAAATTTAAACCAAAAATAAATAAAAAAAAACAATTATGAAATTAAAAAAAAAAGAAAACTTAGACTTTAAAACGGAAAAGAACTAATTAAATATTTTTATTTCTTTAAATTCCGCTTGAATGCCACGGATATCTAATACTTGAATTGAAATTGAATAAAAAATGCATAAAATTAAATAAAAACAAAAAAAATCTACAAAAATAAAAAAAAATATTTAAAAAATTATTTAAGGTTCCCTCCCCTATTTAACTTAGCTAACCGTTTAATATTTTGTTTTGTTTTTGTTTTCTTGTTTTCTATTAAAACATTAGTATATAACGAATATTTGTTGTGACATAGTAAAAAAGCAATCAAATCAAAATAAACTCTCATGCAACACAGAAAAATATTTTGATGAAAAAGTTTTTTTTTTTTTTTTTTTCAAAAACAAATTTCTTTTACATCTTTAGTAAATCCTCGTTTTTTTTTTTGTTTTTATTCAAATAATCTTTATTACCTATATTGTTTTCTATATATAAGTATATATATATATTTTTTTTTTAAATCAAAGGATAATATATTTTGTATGCATAATATATATAGTGGTTGACAGAAATATATTTATATAAAAAAAACATTTGTGCAAAAAAAAATTTTTTATTTTCGGTTCTCAAATTCAAATATCCCGCACTATATGCAATAATAAATTTTATTTTGTACATGGTAATTTAAAAAAGAATTCATTTCTTCTAATATGGCAGTTTGTATGTTCTTGAATTTCGTTTTTTTTTTGTTTCTTCAAGTTTTTAAAACATAAATTTAAAACATTAATTTTACTTTATAATCGAAATTTTAATTTAGTTGATTTTATTTTTGTTTTTATTATTTATATTTATAATAATAATTGCACTCCACTTAATATTAATTAAAACAATTTTTTTATTTCAGAATTTTGTTATTAAAGAATTAAGGAGAATTAAAGCCCCCAAGATTTGTTTATATTATGTGTAAACTCCGAATTCTATAAAAAGTTCACGAGTAGCTCTAATCATCAATATTTTCTGTAAATAACATTGTTATTATTGAGAAAAATATGAAATGATTAAATACAATTTCAAAACAGTCTTTTAAATTTATGAAAAAAATAGCATTTTTTTCGAAAATTATAAAAGTTTTTCAGAATTTCGTTCAAAAATTACGTCTAATGAGTAAAGTGTTATAAAAAAATCAAATTTTAAAATTAATTTTAATATTAAAAATTTATATGGATAACTTATTGGAGGAAAAAGAAAGTGGTTAACAATGTTATCTTGAAATAATATTAAAACTACTTAAAGAATGAATTTTAATAGTAAATGAAATATATAAAAAATTAAATATTACTTGATGAAGTTTTATTTTTTTATATACTTGAGAGAAATTTACTACCAAATAATTCATATTGTGCGAATACTTATAAAATGTTTTCATAGAAAAATTAAAAATCTAAAGTAAATTTCATTTGACTTAATTTAAATATATGATTTAATACAAAAAAAGACAATATATTTAATAATATAACTAATATTTGTGTAATTTACTACATAAAAACAAATCTAATAACATCATATTAATCAAGTAAAACAAAAATTAATTTAATTAATATATTAAGTGAATGAAAATCATTTAACAAAAATAAATTGTTTTCCTGTTTTGCTTGTTGTATGTTTTAAAAAATATTTAGATAGCATCAACAACAACTTTAATTACAAAAAAAAATTAACTGCATTATAACAAAATTGATGGCAACACCAATATTAAATGTGAGGTTAAGGCAGCATTTGATTTTAAAAAATCTTTCTTTTGATTTAATTTATTTATATCTAAGTTTGTTTTTATTATTTAGTTCTTACTTTTTTCAAATATTTATCAAGTGATAGTATTAATTTTACTAGATAGTAACTAATAAACGATGTTAAGCTTATTAGAAGTGGGATTTTATTTTGTACCAAAAAAAAAAAAAAATAAACTAATAAAAAAATTTATTTGCACAAACGTTACCTTTTACTTATAACTTTAAATATATTTTTTGCTTATTTTTTTAATAAATTACAAATATTTACTCAAAAAGTTTGCGTGTGTTTAATAAGTCTTTAAAATTGACTATATTTTTTTTTAGTCCTTACTTTTGACAGTCAACTTAGCTGAGGATTCAACTTGTCCTGTTGCAGATGTTACTTTGACAGTAAATATACCAGAATCTTCTTCGTATGTTGTTCCAATTAATAAAACTGCAGATTGTCCATCAAACACCATCTATAAAATGAAAAGAATAGAATAAAAATTAAAAATTAATGATAAATTTAAAAAATTAAAATGACATTATAAAAATTCGAAATCACAAATTAAAAAAAAATAAAGCTGAAATAATATTACAAAACAAAACCAAAATGCATTTTACCAAACTTTCATTTTGCAACAAGCAACTTAATCATTTAAGGTATTCTAATAATCAACCTCACTTTACAAAAACAAAAACACATATCAAAAATTTTGATTTCTAAATAAATTTTTCTCAAATATAAACAATATAATGTATATTTACATGACGTTTTATAGTATCTAATAAAAACAGCACACATGAGACTTATTTTTTAATTTTTCGTGATAAAAAAACAAAAATTACACATCTCAACGTTATTATCAATATAAAAAAAAATTTAACGTAATTTTTTTGGTGATTCTTACCTGGAAATCTGGTGTTTCAGGTATTAAAGCTCCTTCTCTGTACCATTGTACACTTGTAGCTTTAACTTTTCCACTAATAGTTGTTTTAAATTGTGCAGGCATACCTTCAAGAACTGAAACATCTTTCAATGCTGTTATACTTGGCGGACCATCTTGCGATTGTTCAACAGACACTTTCAACGTTCCTTGTGTTTGAACCGTACCCAACTTATTAGAAAGCACACATTTATATGTGCCCTCATCTTCTGGGAAAGCTTCAGAAATTCTCAAATTGTAATATTCTCCTTCACGAACCATTTGGAAATATCTTGATTGTTTAATAATATTATCACCTCTAAACCATTGTGCTGTTGGAGTTGGTTTACCAACACATCTACATTTGAAAATAACTGGATGTCCTTCAGTAGCATTTTGTGACTTCAATGGTTCTACTAAAACTGGAGCTTTTTCTGTGCCGGGTGTAGTCGATTTTGGTTGTGGTTTTGATTGTGCTTGAACAAAACATTCAGCATCGCAACGTGCCTCACCAGCATGATTAACAGCAACACATTCGTATCGACCAGCATCTTCAACATGAGTTTCAATAATCAATAACGTATAGAGATTATCTTCTTCTAGCATTTTATATTTAATATTAGGCTGAATCTTTTGACCATTCTTTAACCAATAAACATCTAATGGTTTAGTACCAACAACTTTAGCATCGAAACGAGCTAATTGTCCAGTTGGAACTGTTGTATTTTGAATTGTTTGATGGAAGCTTGGTGGTGATGCTCCACCTCTGCCTTGACGACGACGTTCTTCAACAACTAAATTTGCACTACATTTAGCAGTGCCTCCGCGATTTTCAGCAATACAAGCAAAAACAGCTGAATCTTCTACAAATACTTGACGAATTTGTAAGATAGATTTACCTTTGAAGGTTGTGATTTGGAAATCTGGCGAATTTCTAATTAAGAAGTTCTCACGATACCATTTAATTACTGGTTCTGGTGAACCATCATATTCAACTTCAAATCTAGCTGGTTCATTTTCGAAAACGCGGCATGGTTGAATTTTTTTCGTAAAGAATGGTGGCTTAGATGGTGCTACTTGTCCTTCTACCATACGTTCTGTTGTAGTTCCTCTATGTTCAACTTCAGTTGTTTCAGTTGAAACAATATTTCTAGTTATTTCAACATCACCATGAACTTCTTTTTGTGTCTGTTTTTGTTTTTGGGTATACACTTCACGGCCATGAACCGATGATTCAGATGGTTGTATCGGTTGCTTTTGAATTAATCTTTGTTGTGTTGTTCGTTGCATTCGTGAATCTTCACTTTCTTGCCTGTATGTTTTTAAAAAATTATAAAAATTTTATTTATTATAAAAAGGAACTAAAAAATTTTGATTTAATTTAATACGTACAAAGTTTCTTCGTAATTAGAAGCAAGTCCTTTTGCTGAATCAATAGCTATACGTTTTCCAGGGACAATTGCTTGATGTGTATCTTCTCTCATTTTTGTTTCTTTGAGCAATTGTTCTTGTTCCAAAACGGAAAGTTTATTATAATAATCTTCACTCTTTTTAGCTTGTACCAAACGCTGCCATTCGGTTTCTTCATCTTGTTTAGGCCCCTTTGGTTTGAATTCGACCCCACGGAATTGAGTTGTTTGTTTTGCCATTTGTTGCTTGCGTTCTTCCATAACTTTTGTTAGTTCAGTGCTTTCTTCTAACCTTTGTTGTTCATCATACCAAGCTATCAAATTCAAATAAAATTTAATGTAGAAATTTGAAATAAGTAAGATAGAATGCTAATTAAAAGGTTTGAAAAACAATATATGTAGTTATTGTTATACAAAAAAAAAAAACATTATTAATTTAGTTATAATCAAATAATATTAGTATGAATTTTAAAATTTTATTAAAAATATAATTTAATTAATAATTGAAGTAGATAATTGAATAATTTTAAAAATCAACTAAATAATTTATAAGCATAGTGACATAATTAATAATATTATAATATCAAATGAATTTGATTTCAACGAAGTATTAAATGACTAAGGTCAAAATATATTTAAAAAAAGAGGATTAATTAAATATTTAAAATAAAGCATTTCAAAAAAAATTTTTAGTAACGCTATTTAAATTTAGAAAACAGAGTAAGAACAAAAGTTTCATTTATTAATTTGCTTTTTTTCAAATATTAAATTTGAATAAGAGCTAAAGTAGTGCAAAAGCTAGTTTGCATTATAATGGATTTTATAGTTTTTAAAGTTTTATAAAAACTTGAAAAAATAAGGTTTTTATGGCTCAAAAATCAAATGTTTTTTCCTAATAATCCTTTTAAATATATTAAGTAAATATTTCATAAATACTTTTAGATGTTCATCCCAACGCTTCTTCACATTTTTTTTTTTGAAAGCAATAATTTAATATTCCTTTATGAAATATTTACTCCAGAGCATGAAAAAAAATGTAACGATCGAATTATCACAACGTCACATTGTTACATACATTTCGCATAAATATTATAGCTCGTTATAAATTCTCGTTTAACATTATAGAAAAACCAAAAAAATAAATAATATTAATGATGGGAATAAAATTAAATACAAAAAAAATTATGTAGGTTCTCAAAAATCAAAAAAAAAAAAAAATAAATACTCAAACCTTATTTTTTGTTTTGTGAATTTTAAATTTCCACAAAAAACAAAAACTGTGACTTCAAATTTACCATTAAATATTTTTTTATTTTCACCTTTCATTTTTGCAAATAATTTGCTCTTCAAAAAGTAAGCAGCAAAAGCATTTAATTGTAGCAGTTATTTATTTCGTATCCTTTACAATCCACCTCTTTCATGGTGACTAGGTGCTTAAGCGATTTTTATTTAAAGGAGTTTGTGCATCATATGGGAAAGTGTTACATAATGCGGATGTACCCGATTTGAGTAATAATTAATATTTTTGTCAAATTTAAATAACTATTTAATTTACAATTTTTAAGGTTAAAATCAAAATTTAAATTTTTGTTTTATTCTGTATAATTTATAAACGAAGGCATACAACATTTTCTTCGAACAAAGAAAAGTGGTATATACAGTACAAAAATAGTCCACTTTTCATTGTAAGAAATATTAATTTAAAAAATTGAAAATTTAACCGGAATTTCGAATGCAAATCAGTGTACAAAAGTATTAATATACGAGACATAATTATTACTCAAATTTATTTTATTATTTTCGTGTTGGAAATATTTATGCAATCTGTTTTAGTTTAGATATTTGGTATAAGCTTTGTTTGGTTTTAAATATTCTTAGTTTAAATTGGTTATGTTTAGTTTAAAAATTCTAAGTTTAAATTGAATGCAATGTTATGTAGAATTTTGAAAGCATATTATAAAATTGTTAAAGTTTTTAACTGATTTACGAGTAATTTTTGTAAGTATTTTCTATTGTCTATTGTATATATATATAATTATATTTAAATTTAAAATTATTAAAATAAAGAAACAAGAAAATATACTTACGACGTGGAGCATTCTTAAGTACATTACGATAGTCATCTGATCGTGGAACAACTTTAAGTTCAGTGCTGGCTAAAGCTTCTCCAGCTGCACTGCGTGCAACTACTTCAATTTTACCGGTATCGTATTGTCTAGTTTTTGGTATATCCAAATGGTACATGCCATCATTTGTTAATTTGTATCGCATGCCCTAAAAAAATACATAAATTTTTATGCTCATGTATAGTTTTTTTTTTTATTTCACTTACATGAACAACTGTGTGTCCATTTATTAACCACATAACACGTGGACGTGGATGACCGGTAACGCGGCAGCAAAATCTGGCACACTCACCTTCCTGTACAACTTGTGGTTCAGGTTTACTAACAAATGTAGGTGGAGCTGGTTGTTTCTTATCATCAACGCCACTTTCTGGAACTCTGAAGTGGAAGAATAATTAATATTTTTCAATTTAACTTAAAAAAAAAACGCTTACGCTTGCCAAGCAGCTTCCATCTCTCGGATCTTTTCGATACTCTTCATGTGTTTTGGTAGTTGCGAATCGTAAATTATACCAGGCTTTCCAGCGGTTCTAATAATAGCTCTAGTTTCATCGAAACCATAAAGATTTGTTGCACGACATACGTATTCACCATTATCTTCTGGATAAATCCATCCGAAGTTTAATGCAACATATCCAAAATCATATATTGGCTGAAGACGTGTTTCTGTAAATTTTATCAGATATTACTTGAAAAACTTATTCAACTAAATATAAAAAAAAAACTTTAAATATGGTTTAAAATTTAAGACTTACTGTATGTCAATGGTTTTCCATTAAGGAACCATTCAACCTTCATATTTGGATCACCAACTGGAGATAACTGGCATTCGAATTTCGTGGATTGCATTTCCACTAATGTAGTTTGACTTTGTATTTGAGTAACAAACCGTGGTGGTTGTTGTTTCTCTGGATCAAACAAATCATCTTCGGTCAAATGAACAGCCGATGTATATTTTTTGATTGTGGCTTCCATTTGAGTTAAGGTTTCAGTTCTCTTCATTCCTCGAGGTACTTGATTTTGTAATATAATAGATGGTTGTTCTGGAAAATTTATGCAGAATACAATATTAAAACCAATTTCTGTAACAAGAATGCTATATTATACTTACGTTTACATGAAATTCTAGCTACAGTTTTATCTTCTCCATGTAAATTAACAGCTCTACAGATATATTCGCCAGAATCTTCCGCATATACATAAAGAATGTCAAGGGAAACATATCCCATATCATAAACATTGCGATATCTATGTCCCAACGGTAGAGGTTTTCCATTTCTGTACCATTCTATGCGAAGATTTGGATCTTCTTTTGGTTCAACGCGACATTCGAATCTCATAGCTTCAGCTTCCTCAACTTGAACTGATGCTATTTCGGTTATGAATTTAGGAGGACCAAAATCGGTTTTATCTGGTACTGGAGCAGCCTGAATTGGACCACGTTCTAAATCTTTCAATTTTTCTGCAGTCATTCCATGTGGTAATTGAGATTCGGATATAATACCATGTTTAGCTTTGCATGTTACTTTAGCAGTAGTCGTTGCGAATCCCCATTTATTTGTAGCTCTGCACATGTATTCTCCTGTGTCACGAGCATATATATAATCCATATCTAAGGCAATAAAACCAAAATCATTAAGCATATGAACACGAGAGCCGACTGGTAAAGATCTTCCATTATGGAACCATTCAATTCTCATGCTAGGATCATTGACTGGTTCAATTCTACAGTCAAAATGTATTGGTCCACCTTCTGGAACATCCAAAATATCTTTAATCTGTTCAATGAATACAGGTGGTTGTGGTTTTTCTTCTGCCGCAAGAATTTCTTCTCTTTTGTGCATACTTTCTTCAAGTTTCTGAATGCTTTCAGTTCCTGAACGGTAACTTGAAGGTAGTTGTGGGTCAACAATTACACCCTGTCGTCCTTTAACCTGTAGTTTACATGAGACAGTGGCTTCTCCATGTCTGTTGGTTGCTTTACAGGTATATAGCCCTGAGTCACGTTGATAGCAGCCAGCAATTTCCAATATCACAAATCCAAAATCGTTAATTGTTTTAATGCGGGATCCTGACCACAATGCTTTACCATTATGGAACCACTCAACGCGCATACTTGGATCATTGATAGGTTGCAATCGGCATTCGAAATGTGCCAAAGCGTTTTCTGATAACAATAAATCAGATGGTGTCGTTATGAACTCTGGTGGTTTTCCTGAATCATCATCAGGTATTATATGACTATCTCTAACAACACCAAGGCCTTCCAATTGAGCGATTCTATCAATAGTACCTTCCATACCTTTTGGTAACTGTGATTCGAAAATTATACTTCTCTTGCCTTGAATTTTCATGGTAGCTGTAGTTACAGCTTCTCCATAATCATTTGTAGCTCTGCATGAATATTCCCCAGAGTCTTCAGGATAAACTGGAGAAATTTCCAAAATCACAAATCCGAAATCAGAGAATGTTCGGAATCTTGTTCCAGCTCGTAATGGTTTTCCATTCCAGAACCATTCAACTTTTAGTTTTGGATCATCAATTGGAATCAGTCGCGCTTCAAAATGACAGTTTTCTCCTTCACGAATGTTATCAATATTTGATAGCGGTTTAGTAAATGTTGGTGCTTTTCCTACTACTTCTGTTGTAACTTGCTCAGTTTGGCGTACCATTGAGTCCTCTAAAGTCTGAATTCTTTCCAAACCACCTTCCATACCCTGAAAATAAATGCATATACTTATTTTTTGTAACAATTAATTTTAACTTAAAATATACCCGTGGCAATTGGGAGTCTAAAATGAGGCTTGCTTTTGAGGAGCATTTTAAAGTTGCTTTTGTTACAGCTTCACCATATTTATTCACGGCTCTACATTCGTAAATGCCAGAGTTTTCTTCATAACAATATAGAATATCAAGAATAACAATTCCAAAGTCATGGAAAGTTCTATATTTATGTCCATGAGGCAACTTTTTGCCATTATAGTACCATTCTACTTTAAGATCAGGATCAGTAACAGGAGTTAAACGGGCTTCAAAGTGCGCGCTTTGGCCTTCTGTAAGTTTTGTGATATCTTCCAATTCAGTTATAAATCTTGGTGCTTCAGCTACAGGTGTTCCCGGCGTTGGTTTTTGGTCAAGAGGTTGATTTTCAAGTTCCATAATGCGTGGTAAGGAATCAGGTTGCAAACTATCATAAAATACACCATATCTTCCTTGACATTGCAGTGTAGCTCTAGTAAAGTCTTCACCATATCTATTATAAGCCCGACAGACATACTCACCACTATCATGATTTTGAACGTAAGCTATATCCAACAAAACATATCCAAAATCTGATACTGGTTTAATACGGTTTGAGTGTCGGAGTGGTTTTCCATTGTGATACCATTCAACTTTAAGTTCTGGATCGTTAATTGGAATCAGAGTACACTCAAAGTGAGCAGATTGCCCATCTTTAAGACCTGAGATATTTTGAATGTGTGTTGTGAATTTTGGTTTTTGTCCTTTAGATTTATCAATACAACCCAAAGTAACACTTTGTTCAGTGCGACCCCATTTATTTTTGGCGACACATGTATATGTTCCAGAATCTTCAATCTTAGTACTGAGAATTTCAAGTGCTACCAAGCCAAAAGCGTAAATTGTACGAACTCTTGAACTAGCCTCAAGGTATTTACTATTGAAGAACCATTCAATAACCATAGTGTCATCTCCTGTAGGAACGAGGTTTGCTTCAAAGTGAACAATTTCACCTTCACCAATATCTTGCAGTGATACAAATTCTGTTGTAAATCTGGGTGCTTGACCATCTTCAGCTTGCGCAGGTTTTTCGTCAGTTCTTCGCAATGATTCTTCCAAATCTTGAATTTGTTCCAAGCCTTCGGTTCCCTTAGGATGCTGTGTTTTATCAATAATTGATTCCTTGCCAATACAATGTACTTCCGCAGAAGTGAATGCTTCGCCAGATCTGTTGTAAGCCTTGCATGTGTAAATACCACGGTCACGTTCATACACTTCTATTAAATCTAACGTAACAAATCCAAAGTCTTTGGACATTTTAAATCGTGAACCATGTGATAATAATTTGCCGTTGAAATACCATTCAATTTTAAGATTAGGATCTTCTTTAGGTTCTACGTGACCTTCCAAGTGTAATGGTTGTGTTTCAGACAGATGGAATTCAGGTTGAATAGGTACCGTCCAAACTGGTGGGCCGAATATTTCTTCTGGTTTATAACCTTTAAATTTACTTTTATCAGCTAAGGCTTGTTCAGCTTCTTGAACAGCTTCCAGGCCAGCTTCGCCCTGAGGATGTTGAGTTTCCAAAATCATTGTCTTACCGCTAATACATTTTAACGTTCCTGATGTTGATGCTGTGCCATGAGCATTTGTCGCTTTACATGTATAAACACCGGAATTTTCTTCATATGAATGAATTAAATCTAATGAACAATATCCAAAATCGTAAGTTGCTTGGAACTTGGCTGCTGCTTCAATTGGTTTTCCGTTGCAGAACCACTCAATTTTCATTGTTGGATCTCTTGCCGGTTCTACATTACACTCAAACCGAACCTTATCTCCTTCTTTGCATTCAATATTATTCAAATGGGATATAAATACTGGTGATTCATATACAATTTCTGGTGCATCTTTCTTGAATACTTTGGGTGTTTCCAAAGCATCAATTTGAGCTAAGGATTCAGGATGCAAAGTATCAGCCATTAACCAATGGCGATCATCTATTTTAAGAGTGCATGTAGAAACTGCTTCTCCTAAGAGATTTCTTGCCCTGCACGTGTAAATGGCAGAATCATCAGATCTTAAACCATTAATAGATAATGTTACTAAACCGAAGTCAAAAGTACTACGGATACGGGCTCCAGTAGTTAGAGAAATGCCATTTTTAAACCATTCTACTTTCAAATTAGGATCTGTTCTCGGTTCAACTTGAGCATCCAAATGAACATGCTTTCCTTCAACGAGATTATCATAACTCTCCAAATGTTTAGTGAACACTGGTGGTTGTTGAACACCTTGTTCAACAAACATTTCTGGAACACGATTCATAGCAGCTTCTTTCTGTTGAATTTTTTCCCATGATTCTGGAAGTAATGGTTCGCAAACAATTGTTGACTTAGATTTTACTTTAAACGAAGTGGATGAAACTGCTTCACCAGATAAGTTGTAAGCCCTACATGTGTAAACGCCTGAATCTTCAACAACACATGAGGCAATATCTAGTGTCACAAATCCAAAATCTTGTGTAGTTCTTAGCCTAGATCCCATTTTAAGCTCCACACCATTAACATACCATTCAAATTTAAGTGTTGGATCTCCCACAGGAACAACACGAGCTTCAAAGTGAGCATGCTGCCCTTCAAATAATTCTGCAGGTCCAGTAAGAAGCTGAGTAAATACAGGTTTATCAAATATGGGCTCTGCCTCAACTGGTTTGCCATCCCGTGGTCTCTCCAACTGCATAATCTTTTTCATACCTTCAGGATGTTGGGTGTCCATAAGAATACCTGCTTCAGTTGCAATTGTCATTGAAGCAGTTGTTACTGCTTCTCCCAGTGGATTAATAGCACGACACATATATACACCTTGATCTTCAGCACGAACTTTAGATATATCTAATGATACATATCCAAAATCGTGTTGCTTAGAAATTCTGGAACTGTCTTCAATAAGTTGTTCATTTCTGTACCATTCAACCCTTAAATTAGGATCCCCAACGGGAATCAAACGACATTCAAAGTGAGCATTTTGATGCTCTTGTATTTTATCAATGTTTTGAAGTGGTTGAGTAAAGACAGGACGCTGTCTGGTATACGCATCTTCAATTTCAGGTCTTTTTGAAGGTTGTAGTTGTTCTAATTTTCTAATTTTCTCTAGACCTTCTGGATGCTGAGTTTCAGCAATGATTGTTCCTCTTGAATGAACGGTGAGATTAATAGAGGAAACTGCTTGTCCATATGCATTTACAGCACGCACAGAATATTCGCCAGCGTCTTCTGCAACACAGTGAGATATATCTAGAGCGACGTAACCAAAGTCAAATGTAATATGGAATCGAGATGCCGATGGAAGTGGTTTTCCATTATGGTAGAATTCAATTCGCAAATTAGGATCATGAACTGGTGTTACTTGAGCTTCAAAGTGGGCATTTTGTCCTTCATTGATTTCGGTAGTTCCACGCAATTGAGTTGTAAAAGCAGGTGGTCCTGTTGGTAGTTCTTCAGAAACTTGACGAGCAACTTGATGCCTAGATTCCAACTTTTGAATTTTTTCTAAGGCGTCAGGATGGTGAGTATCCAAAATCATACTTCTTCGGTTTAATACACGAACATTACATGTATTCATGGCTTCACCTAGCAAGTTAGTGGCTTTGCACATATATGTTCCGGTATCTTCACCGTACACGTAAAGAATATCCAGAGCAACATATCCAAAATCATGAGTAGTTCTGAATCTATGTCCAGCACGAATAGCTTTTCCATTTATAAACCATTCAATCTTCAAGTTTGGATCATTTATAGGTTCAACTCTACATTCCAAATGGGCATGATCACCTTCTTTTAAGTGTTCCAAACTAGTCAGAGGTGTTAGGAAAACTGGTTTTTGACCCCTTTCTTCAGCTTCTGCCTTCTTTGGTGGTTCATATGCTTCCAACTGTCTTATTTTATTCAAACGTTGCTCATCGAGGGTTTCAGACTGTATGCCAGCATTTGCTATAATTATAAGAAAAAACATTATTTCAGTTTCAAAAATTACAAATAAAGTGCTTTACCTGTGACGTTTACAGCACAAGTTGTAACGGCTTCACCAACAGCATTCCTTGCTTTGCACATGTAAGTACCTGAATCTTCGGCGTAAGCATATAAAATATCCAAAGCAACAAATCCGAAATCGTAAGTTTGTTTGAAACGGTGTCCTACTTGAATTGGACGACCGTTGCAGTACCATTCTACTTTCATTGTAGGATCATTAACTGGTACAAGGGTAGCTTCCAAATGAATGTTACTACCTTCGGGACCACTTGCATTACGCAAAGGTTTTCCAAAGTGCGGCATTTCCGCCACGTAGTGCTCTTCTTCCCTTCTAACAGCATAACGTGAGGAATCTTCCAAAGAATGTAATTTTTCTAGGGCACCTTCGTGTTGTGTTTCCATGATTATAGATTCTCTAGTTTGGACATTAAGATTTATAGATGATACAGCTTGTCCAAGTTTGTTTGTCACTTTACAAGTGTATGTACCTCTATCCTCAGCGTAAACGGTTAAAATATCCAAAGCGGCAAAACCGAAATCATAAGTAGTTCTAAATCTATGACCCATACCTAAAGGTTTGTCATTATGGAACCATTCTACTTTGAGATTAGGATCTGGATATGGTTCTATTCTACATTCATAATGAGCGCTCTTTCCTTCTATTAAATTCGTAGGCCCAGTAAGTTGAGTAACAAATTGCGGTGCTCGAGTAATGACATATTCCTCTTCTTCTCTTCGTCGTAAGTGTGAATGATCCTCCAATTGATGAATCTTCATTAATGCTGCTTCATTTTGAGTTTCAAGCTGCAGAGCTTCTTTAGATTGGACAATCAACGCAGAAGATGTTACGGCTTGCCCTAAACTGTTAATAGCTCTGCAAGTATAAGTACCTGAATCTTCTGGATTAACGTATTTCATATTTAGAGCCACATAACCAAAATCATGCATTGTAGTTAAACGATTAGATGCCTCAATAGGCATACCGTTACGTAACCATTCAACTTTAAGATTAGGATCTCCAACTGGAATAAGACGAGCTTCGAAATGAACAGCTTGGTTTTCTGCTACTTTCACATCCCGAAGGGGCATTGTAAAGACAGGAGCTTGGGTAATAGTTTCTTCTGTTGCGCTAATTCTATTCGTCTTTGTTGTACTCTCAAGATGATGTAGACGATGCAAAGCCCCTTCATGCTGGGATTCCATATAAATTGCCTTCTTAGTATGAACAGCGGCAACTGCAGATGTTATGGCTTCACCACAGGCATTGATTGCTCGGCATGTGTAAGTACCAGAATCTTCAGGTAGACATGCCATGATATCCAAGGCTACAAAACCGAAATTGTTAGTTTCTGTAAATCTAGATCCCGATTTTAAAGGCACATTGTTATGATACCACTCTACTTTCATTGTGGGATCAGAAACTGGAATTAAACGACATTCGAAATGAGCTCTTTGTCCTTCTTTTATTTCAACATTTTTCAGAGAAGTTGTGAATATAGGAGCTTGTTTTGTAGTTTCTTCATATTCTTCAACACGCCGATACCTAGATTTATCTTCCAGGTGGTGAATTTTACTCATACCTGCTTCATTTTGAGTTACAGTAACAATTTGATCACTGCTTACACAAGCTAACTGGCAATGAGTTTCATCAGCCCCAACTAAATTAACAGCCCTACAAGTATATGTGCCAGAGTCCTCTGATATTAAGTCAAAAATATCAAGAGCGACGTATCCAAAATCATGTATAGGTCTAAAGCGATGTCCTACCGTTATAGGATAACCATCTTTCAACCATTCCACTTTCAAATTTGGATCAGTAACTGGTTCAATTTTGCATTCAAAGTGAGCATGTTGGCCTTCGCGTAGATTTCCTAAACTTTTCGGTTGTGTTACAAACCTCGGTTTAATATTTACAAATTCATCTACGTATTCACTACGTTTGTAACGTGATGTGTCTTCTAATGATTGAATTTTTTCCAAACCTGATTTATTTTGAGTGTCAAGCAATAAATCACTCTTAGCTATAATTCTTACTGAACATGATGTAACGGCTTCTCCAAGTTGGTTTCGAGCTTGGCATGTATAAACCCCAGAATCGCTTGCATAAACGCCTAGCAAATCTAAAGCAACATAATCAAATTCATATGCTGGGCGGAAACGGTGTCCAGTTTTAATGGGATGACCATTAACAAACCAATCAATATGCATTGAGGGGTCACCAACGGGTTGCAGGCGACATTCCAAATGAATATTGGTTCCTTCAACTGTTTCTATATTATGAAGTGGACGAGTAAATTGTGGAGGACTCATTATAGTTAGATCTTCTTGCACTTCCCGTTGGCGTTTTGAAGCCTCTAACATTTCAATTTGCTCTAAGGCATACTCATTTTGGGATTCAGTAACTACGTCAGACTTACTTATAATTCTAACACAAGCTGATGTGTGAGCTGATCCTAAATGATTTGTCGCTCTTACAGTATATTCACCAGAATCTAGCGAAGTAGCCTGCACTATGTCTAATGCAACAAAACCAAAGTCATGATACGTTTTAAACCGCGACCCAATTATAATTGGCCTTCCATTTTGGAACCACTCAACTCTCATAGTAGGATCACCCATAGGCTCTAGTCGGCACTCCAAGTGTAGATTTTTGCCTTCATGAATAGGTTTTGGATCAGATAGCGGTTGCACGAAAATTGGTTTTGACTTTGATATTTCTTGAATATCATATTGTGGTTCAATAAACGAGCTGGTTTCCATTCTTTGTGTTTTTTCGTAAAGACCTCTATGCATGCTGGTTGTGTCAACACTTGTACGAGCTAAAAATATTATAAAATATATATTTTTTTTTGCTAACTTGTGTAATCATTGATTATATGAAGACTTACTTTCCACAACCATGGTAGCAGAAACGTGCGCCTCGCCAAGTTTATTTCGTGCCACTACGGTATATGTACCGGCATCTTCTGCACGAATTTGTGAAATATCCAAAGCGACATAACCAAAGTTACAATAAGTTTGAATTCTATTGGCAGACATAAGAGGTTGATTATTATGATACCATTCAATTTGAATATCAGAATCGTTTTGGGGCTCAAGGCGAGCCTCAAAGTGAGCACGTTGACCCTCGCAAATTTTAGTGGTTCCTTTCAATGGTCCTAGGAATTTTGGTTGTGTGGTTGATACTTTCTCAGTTTCAGTTACAGTTCTAGAAGCACTGTACCTTGAAGAATCCTCTAAACTCCTAATTTGCTCATAAGCTTGTGCATGCTGAGCATCGTAGACGATGTCATCTTTTGAAATTACGTGCAAATTAGCATTTGTAATGGCTTCACCTTTAGCGTTAATAGCGCGGCAGGAATATGTTCCTCTATCATGCACTGTTAATTGTCTGATAGTGAGAGCAACATATCCAAAATTAAAGAATGTTGTGCTTCTTGAACTTGCCTCCAAGGGCATACCATCTTTATACCATTCGATTCTCATAGTGGAATCACCCACCGGTTCTAAACGCGCTTCGAAATGAGCATGACCACCTTCTTGAATATTGACCTGATCCTTTATTGGTACCTTAAATACAGGTGGAGATGTGCACTGTGGTGCTTCCTGTACAAACTTTTGTTGTTTGCTTCGTCGCTGAGCTTCTAAATGTTCTACATTTTCAATATATTGAACTTGTTCAGGTATACCTAAATCTCCAGTTACAGTACTTCTTGTAAATATTTTTATTTTACCCGTAGAGATAGCTTCACCCAATTTATTAACAGCTCGTACGGTATACGAACCAGCGTCTTCAGCCCGTAGGTGCATTATATTAAGGGAGACATATCCGAAGTTGAAGACCGCAGTGATTCGAGAACTTGCTGTTATTGGTCGGCCATCTTTATACCATTCTACACGCATTGTAGGATCACTAACTGGAGTTAGTTGAGCTTCAAAGTGAGCATTACGCCCCTCTTCTACTTCTCCTAAATCTTTTAAAGGTTTTATAAAAACAGGTCTTTGATTACATGATTCTTCTACGCTCTCGTGACGTTGATATTTGGAATAGTCTTCCAATTGTTGAATTTGTTCTAAACTTTGAGGATGTTGAGTATATCTTTCAATTCCAGCTCTTTCACTTATTGTTAGGATAGCTCTCGACTCAGCCATACCTGCTGCATTACGTACTCTGCAGACATATTCACCAGCATCATGTGAAATTATGCTAATTATGTCAAGTGAAATAAATCCAAATTTAAATACTGCAGTTGAACGTGAGCCTATGACAAAAAATATAAAGAAATTATTAACACTTTAAGCATGGTTTTTTATTTTTCGATATACATACTTGCAGACAAAGGCATTCCATTAAAGAACCATTCAACAATCATATTGGGATCCCCGACTGGTTCAATTCTTGCTTCTAAATGTACTTTTCCACCTTCAGTCGCTTTAACATCATGTAATGGAACTATGAATTGTGGTGGTGGGTATATTCTATCTTCCTCTCCAGGTCTTGTATGAGGTCTAGGTCGTTCAACATGTCGAAGATATATAACTTCTGGCCCAGGTTCTAACCTAAAAGTACAATTGAATTGGTTTAAGAAATATTTTAAAAAATAATAACTTTAAATAAATAAAATTAACTGACTACTATTATTATTTTCACTTACTCAGGTTCGATAACCTTTGTTGGTCTCGGTAAATGCAAGCGTTTTTGTTCGTAAGCTGCTTGCTGAGGCACTTCAACATACAAACGTGCTCGTGTAGCAGTTGAACCGGCAATATTTTGTGCATTACATTGATACCAACCAGAATCGTGCGCAGATGCTCTTGGGATTTCGAGACACGTGTCGGTCCCGTCAACACTAATATGACGATTTGGTGTAGCACTAATAACAACACCATCTTTTTGCCAACTCAACCTTGGAATTGGTGTACCTATTGCACGTGCAGATAAAACAACTGGTTCACCCTCACGTACTGTTAAAGTATTAAATCTCTGTACAAATTGGGGTGCTATAACTTGTTCTTTTTCTAAAACATTTAATTGAGCTTGACAAAGAACTTCGCCAGCTTTATTCCGAGCTAAGCATTTTACTACACCAGCGTCATAACGACTTGTGGCAGTAATCATTAATGAGTGGCTTCCTGATTCATTTACCAAAATTTTGTGGGTATTATCATCGTACACTTGACGATCATTTATGAACCAAAACACGTCTGGGTACGGCTTGCCAGTCACTCTACAATCAAACCTAGCCATTTTACCTTCAGTTGTTTCTGCATTTTGAATCATTTTTACGAAATTTGGTTGTAAAGATTTACCAGATTCTGCTTGCTCAGCCATATAATCTACAGGTCTTGGGTCAGTGCTACCTTCATGGGCTGGTTCGATTGCAAGAACCGCAGAGGCAACCACACAACCTTGAGTATTTTCAGCCAATAGTGTATAGTAACCAGCATCACTATAATTAGTGTTTTTAATACGTAATGTTGCCAAATTATTTGTATATGACATTTCATATTTGCTAGATGCTGACAAACGTTGACCATTTTTGAACCAAGTTAAACGTGATTTTGGATTAGATGAAATTTTAGCAGTAAATACTGCATCAGAACTTTCAACTAATTTTGAATTTCTTGGTTTTTGTGCAATTTGTGGTGCTTGTGCTGGACCTAATGTTCTATCTAATTCCATACTCAATCTTGAGTCGGATTCTGAATGTGACCGCTGCGTAATTGATTGTCTAAAAGATACTTCACGTAATAAACGATATTCAAATGTATCGACTCGAAATTCCTCTTCAACCGTAGTAAAAGCACTACCATTTGTAAATCTAAATTGATCATGATGTCTATGCTCTATTTGAGGGATTGCAGCTCCCTCTGGTTGAATATACACACTACAAATCGCTTCACCATATTGATTTCTAGCTGTGCAAGTATATTCTCCTTCATCACCAGGGCCTATTTGATTGATAATTAAACAAACTTCGCCCGTGATTTCATTATAGCTCATTTGATATTTTCTAGATTCTAATAAAGGCGCACCTTTCCTTGTCCATGTTACTACAGGTTTTGGGTTACCACGTAACCTACCTTGAAAAACGGCATTTCCACCTTGCGCAAAACGTGCATTTTTAAATATCTGTTCAAATATTGGTGGCAAGACATCACCTTGTTGTTGAAGTTGTTGAATGTGTTGTGGTGTAAGCACTTGATAACCTGTAATAATATTTTTTATTAAAAAGAGCTTAAAAATTTTTATTTGAAATATTAATATGTTTTTTTTCTTTTGAAAATTAAGCGGATATTGTATATACCTTATTGAAAAATAAATTTTTGATCTTAATTGACAAAATTTAAAAATATGTGAAATTTATTACGTAAATTTTAAAGTTTTCTTTACTTTTGAAAGAAATAAATAGCTGTTGTAATAAATGGCTACTTTTTTAAAAATAAAATTTCAAACAAATAAACATTCAGTACATACACATGTATGTATGTATGTACGTGAAATATGTATTCCAGGAGTAGGTGATATGCAATTTGCATGCATATACCTACCGACTTGCATAAAACATTTATATATGTAGGTATTTATGTAGATATTTAACTCTATATGTACACATATTCAACAACGATTTATTTTAAGGTTTTAATTACCGTTATATTTTATACAATATACAAAATATCATTTTGTATTTCTAACATAACATGTAAATATGTAAGTAGATATCTATGTATGATATAAAGGTAACATTTAATATTCGATTTCACATTTCAGCAAATTTAATATCAAAAAACATTACTTCTATTGCTGCCGCTTTAGTACCGTTAACGAGTAGTATCGTACTCCGCATTAAACGAAAACCAAGAACTTTTTATAACTTATTTTCTTTTTACATGTATACATACATTTATATGTAACTTGACTCTATATACAAATTTTCAAACTTTTTCGATAAAATTCTTTTAATTTTTACCAACCAATTTACGATATTTTACAAAAATTATCTGCTATATTTAATAAAGATTTCACCTCGAATAATCAATCATTAGCGGTTTTAGTTTTTTTTATAAACATAAATTGACATATTATAAACAATGACAGACCTCACATATGTTAAAGATCAAAGCTTATATACCAATGTAATAAATGAAGAGATGTAACGAAAAAGCAGTTTAGTTTCTATCTTTAGATCATTCTAGCACATTTTATTGCTAAAAGAAATTCTTTAGCCCTAAGAAATTTTTTTTTAAATAAAAAAGATAAGAAGTATTTTAATTTCTTTTTTTTTTAAATAAGCATTTGTTTTTATTTAAATTTTCATTAAGTAGCAATAGTTCCATTTCAGTTTCAAATTTTGTTTTCTAGTACTTTTGTAACAAATTAGTAGTACAATTTGTAACTTTCATTTATTTTACTAAAATAAGAATTGTCAAAACTATGTGAGTTCTCAAAATATAAAAGAAAAACGGGTAGAATTAGAATGAATGTGCATTAGAAATGTAATGATTAGAGGAAAAAATAGATTTATTCCCAGTCTTTTATTTTAATGAAATAATCGTACATTTATTTTTAAAATAATCGTACATTTATTTAAAATTTGTGTAATTAAAATGTGTTTTAAACGCGACATTAATTAAATAGCCGATTTAGAAGTTTTAATTCAAATTGATGATATTCAATTTTGTTTATTTATGCGCCTTAGTTTTTTATATTAAGTTTCACACTTCATCAATTATACAATGCGATGCGCGGATTGTGTTTTTTGAATGACAACCAGTTTAGCAAAAACTTCGGATAAATTTAAAATAGAATTAAATTGATACAATATTCTCTTTTCTAGAGAATTCTTAAAATTTGCATTTTTATCACTTATGTCCTACTCTTATGTCAAGAAATATCGATTTTTCTCTTTATAAATATCGATATTTATTTTGATCGTTATTACTGATTACATGTACAGTTTAAAAAATTCTATCAATATGGAAACAATGAAAGTTTTTATGTAAAAAGAATTTGAATTGAAAAAGAATTGTAATTTTGTAAGAATTGCAGAAATTTCAGAATTACATCAATATATTTATATAACTATGTAAAATAAATAAAATATTATTAAAAAATGCAGGAGAAATTAGTGTAATAGTAATTTGAAAAGTTTCTTTTTGCTTAATTTACATCCATATTTGAATATTTCCTTTCATTGCAGATTAGTGAAGTTGCGATATATATAATTTACAATATGGGTTCAGTTTTATCACTAGTTCAGCTTTGATGATCCAAAAATAAAAAAAAATATTAAAAAGTTTCTTAAATATGATGAGATCTAAGGCTAAAATATAAAAGTATGCATTCAGTAACCAGTCATCTAACTTATTCCAATTTCTTTTTTCATTGATTTGAAATAAATTTATGCACACATACATATGTAAGTACCATTATGTTTAAAACTAATTTAATTAGATTAGTATATCATTAGAGTAGCTATTTTTCTAAGAATATTACGGTAAATCTGAAACCACAAACCCATTTTTGATCAATGGATAAAAATTTTGAATGAAAATTAAATCAAAATTTTATGTACCTACGTATCAACCTACACACATGCATATATACTTATATGTATAAATGTATATTAAAATTCATTAAAATATAAAATTAATAAACTATATTCAATCTTTATAAAAACAAAATTCTTAAAGAATCAACAAGAGATTTTTTTTCTGTAAAATTGTCTTTAAAATTTAATTAATTAAATTATCATAACATTTAGACTAATAATTAATTTATTTATTCCTGGTTTTTTTTGTAGAATGAATATTAGAATATACAGCTGTAGTTGCCTTCATAATGTAACCATGTCCATGTTTGTATGTAAGTATTAAAAATATTTTAAATTAAGAATGAAATTTGTAAATTTGAGTCTATAAATTTAAAAATTAAACACATAATGTAAATATGTATGTGTACATAACGTATGTAGTTATCTTGAAAAAAAATTTATTAAAAATGTAAAATAAAATAAAATTACAAATTTTTGTAGCCTTATGATATTTCATATACAATTCCATTCAATTAAATTACATTCATTTTTTTTCAATTAATATTATTGGATAACGTATTAAATTAAAAAAAAAATTGAACAAAAATAAATAACCTTTTTATGAATTATTTCATGTCTAATCAGACAAATTCATATGTAATAGCAATATAAATTATAAGAAAAAATTGAGTATTTATTTTTAAATACAATTTACAAATTAATTACTCGTAAAATGAAATATTGATAAAAGAAACTATAACTTAATAAATACCGACAAGATTTTTAAATTAGCGAAAAAGGAATTAAAATTTATTTTATTTTCAAAAAGACTGAAATTTATTTTATATCATCGCTGTTATTACATGTATGTAGATAAAAAAATAAATTAAAAATATAAATTAACTTTAATAGCGAAATGAAAATTTAATAGCAAAAGAAAGAAAATAGGTAGTACAGCTATCTTCACAGCAAATAATTGCCAATTTTTAAGCCACTTAAATATGAATAATGTAACCGCCAACCACTTATAGCTAGTTTGTATAGTAAAGTATTGTTGAAATTCCGATGTCAGAACAGTAAAAAATAATGTATTTAAAATAGATAATTTAGTAAATTAAAATAGAAAAATATTTTAAATTACAAAATCAATGAGAGTTTGAATTATAAAATCAATAAGAGTATAGTCATACTAGCAAAATTTCACATTAACATTCCAAAACAAGATTTTAAGTATAGAAAGAATATTTTAGGAGCTGAATATAAAATATTGTACGAGTACTAATATTTAATACAGGTACATAAAATATTGTTTCAGGCACTTAGAAAAATACAAATTAATATGCATTTTTATATGGCAAATGAAATTATATTACAGAATAAGTCAAATTGTTTTGAGCCTATATTTTGGAAAGCATTCTTTTGTTTTTCAAATTTTGTGCCGAAATTTAAGTAGAATTAAAAAAAGAATTTTAAACCAGAAATCATAAGAATGATTGCAGATCTACTTTATTCATAAAACATATCCGTAAATTGAAAGTTATTAATAAATTTTTTTGAAATTTTTTTAAAGTTCGAACACTTGTGCTTCCGAAAATACGCAAAATACGTAATCAAGTAATATTGTGTTTTCAAAAACTGTTTCTATGAACATTCTATCTTTATTAGATTAGCAAAAAATCTTGAATTAGTAGAAATTTCGTGAAAATTTCTTAAAATTCGTTAAAATCCTTGTATCTTGAAGATCGGTGAGATTTAACAACTAGTATCAACAAAAATTTTATCCATTTTTGTTGCCCTAACCAACAAAATCGTGTTGCTGTATAATTAATAAGAAATTCCTGCATAATTAATAACAATGGAATTATTTTTAAAAAAATTATTTAAATGGAAATTAAATTAAACTAGATTAAAAAATAAAAAAAATTATTGAAAAATTTTAACCATAAAATTTAATTAAAGACTTTGCAAAGTTCCTGTTGCATCAAGAAAAAATAATAATGATTTATATACCAAATATAATAAAAAAAGCACCTTTTTTAAAAATTTGCAAAATAAAATTAAAAAAATGGTTGATGCAAGGCTAAATGTTACTGCTTATAATAAGGTTACATTTTAATTTAATAAGTCAATTATGCTTTCTTAAATTGAAAAAAAATGTCTGGTAGTAATTGTTGTTACTTTTGATTTATAAAATGAAAATCAAAAATATATTTTACTTATATAGCTAATAGGTACGCGATATTTCACTAAATAAAATTTAGAATTAATAAAATATAAAAAAGGAAACAATATGTACATATATCTACAAAAAGAATACTAGAAAAAGTAAAATTCATTGTTCGAACATTGAACCCAATTTTCACTAAACTATAAATAAAGCTACTTTTCCTTTTCCTATATTCAAAAATTGTTTTTTTTTATTAGATTTTATTGCAAAATATGTTTCATATTAAATTTTCATATTTTCCTTCGGAAAAAAATAATAATAAATTAAAAACATTTGAATGTATGATAGGCGTGATTGAACTTAAATTTAATATGTACACAAACACGTAAGCGAACTTGTTGAAATTATTGTTTCGGTAACGTAATAATAAAGAGGTCAGTGGTTTCTTTTTTTGTTTAATTTTGAAAACAATAACATTATTTTTCTGAGGTGGTCGTAGCTACAAAATT